CCACTTCTGTTGGCGAAGCAGTAGAGTCATCAGGAGTGAACTCTGAAGGGGAGGATGATGAGTTAGTTGCACAACTTAACTTTGAGGATGAAGAAGGTGTGGTCCTGAGTTAAGAAGGTCAGACAGATTCAGGTTAGTTCCATTTGGCATAAGGATTATAAAGTGGGAGCAGTACATAAATACTCTATGGACAAGTATGTGACATTTGACAAGTTACCAACTGCACATAAAGCTTATGTGATGAGTGTCATGGATGTTATTGAACCAATGTCTTATGAAGAGGCTTGCAAAGAACTGTGTTGGAGAGAGGCAACGAAGGATGAATCAGATGCTCTTGAAGCAAATCAGACTTGGGAACCAGCTTATCTACCACCTGGTAAGAAGGCTATTGGATGCAAATGGGTGTATAAGGTAAAGCTCAGGGCTGATGGTACTATAGAGAGATTCAAGGCCAGATTAGTAGCTAAGGAATTTACTCACATTTATGGGATAGATTTCTTAGACACATTTTCACCGGTTGCCAAAATTAACTCTATGAAAGTGTTGTTAGCAGTGGTTGCTGCCAATGAATGGCTCATACATCAGATGGATGTATCAAATGCTTTCCTCCATGGAGAGTTGAATGAAGAAGTCTACATGAAACCACCACCAGGCATGGAACTACCTGACAAAAGGATGGTTCTGAAGTTGAAGAAGTCTCTTTATGGACTAAAACAGGCTAGCAGGCAATGGTTTGCCAAGTTAGCCAGTTCATTGTTGAAAAATGGTTTTGCTCAAGCTGCTTTAGACTCTTCAATGTTTGTTAAAAGAATTAAGGGAAGGATACTTGTTGTGCTGGTCTATGTAGATGATATATTGATTGCAGGAAGCTCTCTAGGAGATATAGAACAGTTAAAATTGTTCTTGGGAAGAGAATTCAAAGTGAAGGATCTTGGTGATCTGAAGTTTTTCCTTGTACTGGAGGTATACAGAGATGTTAAAGGGATTCATGTGAATCAAAGGAAGTACTGCATGGAATTGTTAGAAGACACTGGATATTTGGAGGCAAAAGACTGTCTAGCACCAATTGATTACAAGCTAAAGTTAACTGCTAAGTAGGGGGAGCCTCTTCCTAATCCAGAGGTTTACAAAAGGTTAGTAGGCAGATTACATTACCTTACTGTCACCAGACCAGACCTAACCTTTGTATCCAGCAGTTATGTCAATTTCAGAAAGATCCATATAGTGAGCACTTGCAGGCTGCTTATAGGATCTTGAGGTATTTGAAACATGCTCCAGGACAAGGATTAATCTTTAAAGCTAATTCAGAATTAAAGTTGAGTGGTTTTTCAGATTCTGATTGGGCAAGTTGCCCTGATACAAGAAGGTCAATTACAGGTTATTGTACTTTGTTTGGAGATAGTTTGATAACCTGGAAGTCTAAGAAACAAATCTCTGTTTCTAGATCATCCTCTGAGGCTGAGTACAGGGCTTTGGCACACTTGGTTTGTGAATTGCAGTTTCTAAGAGGTTTACTTGCAGAAATGGGTGTGAATATTCCCTTACCTATTCAGGTTTTCTGTGACAACAAATCAGCTATCCATATAGCTGGAAATCCTGTGTTTCATGAGAGAATGAAACATTAAGATAGAGTGTCACATTACAAGGGAAAGACTGAAGTCTGGGTTGATCAAGTTGGAACATGTCAGAACAGATGATCAGTTAGCCGATCTCTTTACCTAAGGTATGACAAGATACAAGTTGAAGTTTTTGCTTAGCAAGTTGGGAGTTTTGGATATGCACTCGCCAACTTGCGGGGGAGTATTAGAGCAGATTGAAGATGATTATGGAGAAGAGACAGAGCCTAAGAGTGAAAGCAAAGGGAAGATGAAAGTTGCAGAAGACTGAACCGACGTCTTTTGCTTGGTTTCCATTTGCTACTAGCCGTTAGTCAATGGTCATTCAGTTAGTGCCACCTGTTAGGTACACAGTAATTTATTTAATTTACAGTTTAACTTCCTTTCAGCTTTTACTGTAGATGAATTCTGTTTGTTTAAATAAAACAGAGAGGCATACTGCTCTCTCTGAGTTTTCTCCCTCCAATTCATAGCTGCTTAACCTAGCAGCTCGTTTCTCTATCTTCTCCTTCTACTTCTTAGGGGGAGTGAAAAATTATTTTATTTGTATAAGTCGAGGATAAATAATGCGGAAAAGGGTATTGCATAAATCTCAATATGGAACTTTAAGATTTTTATTATTATTCATTATAAATTATAGGCCAATGTCTATTTTTTACCCAAACCTTTTTCAGATTCTTTTATTTTAACCAAACCTATTGAATTCCTAAAAATTATCCAAACGTTAACTCTCCGTCAAATTTTCTGTTAGTAATGCTGACTAAGTATGACCATAATGAGTTGACTTCCTACGTGGCGGTCAGAATACCATCATTTACTATTTTTAATAAAAAGATTATCAAAAAACAAAACAAAATCTCACCCCTCACGTGGACGAAATAAGTAACGGTAACAGAATAAATGCCCAGACTTTGATAAATTATAATACGTTTGGATAATAAATAGAATTTCTATAAATTTGGTTAAAATAAAAGAATCTGAAAAAGGTTTGGGTAAAAAATAGACATTGCCCTAAATTATAATATGAAACTTTGTAGGGGTGGCTATACAGTCCGGTCCGGTTAAATTGGACCAAATTGATCCGGTCCCAGTCCGGTTTTTTCGGGAATATAAGGACCAAAGATTGGATTGGATACAGTCCGGTCTTGATCCGGTCCGGTCTTGACCCTGTCCGGTCCCAATTTTATCTTGATTTTAGGTGTTGGGGGTCTCTTATCCAATTTTTTTACCTCAAATCTAAACCTGAATATGAGATTGCATTGTTTGCTATCCGGTCCCAATCCGATCCCGATCCGAGTTATACGGCACGGGCCGGGTAAAACCAAATAGTCCGGGACCAAATAGCCAGCTCTAAAACTTTGGATTTATTCTTTTCCTTTCCCAAATCCATGGATTAATCTTTTCCTTTCCCAAATCCATCTCTCCATCCGCATGGTGCTACGAAGAATAATTACCGCGCCAGCGAGCTTGACCGCGCGCTTCATGGGTTACTTACACGCGCACGTGCTTAATGCCTCCTGCCTTTTGTTTTCTATTATCATTTTCATAAAAACCCCCTAAAACTCCACACCAAAAATAAATAACTAATTCATAAAAAAACAAACAAACTATAACAATAATTATAAAACGAAAAAAGGTCCTAATTGGTTGCCCTAAATAATAATAATAATAATAACAATAATGATCTGTGTCTCAGGATGCGGGGTACGGATGGCCGCATATATTTTTACTAGACTTAGCTTTGCTATAGCTAAAGAAGTGGGAGCTCAGATTGTATCTCGACTACCCACTAATTTTTTCTCCCGCTTCCACGTATAATAACAATAATAATTATACATATAAAATTACTAATACACAAAAAAACAACAATAATAATAATAATTTCCATATTAATATATGATTATATTTTGTAAAAAAAATATAATAATAATAATAATAATAATAATAATAATAATAATAATAATAATAATAATAATAATAATAATGGTTTGGTTGCTGGTGTGTGTAGTAGCCAGTAGGATTAATTTGACCATCTCAACTGAACTCAATTCTCTATTTTCCATTTTCTCATCCCGCCCGGCCCTTTACTTCTTGTCTCCGCATAAAGATACTGTCCTCCATCGGCCGCCGATCTGGATGGAATCATGAAGAATCAAATAACAGCAATCACTAATTATCAGGATCATCATTAAGTACTTCAAGGAGAATATTACGAACGTAATCACCAAGGAAGCTAGACATCTATATAATCAATTACAAAACGAATGTATCATTTCTCGCTGCGATTTCTTCTATTTCCATTTTTTTAATCCAATCCGATTTTCGATCGGAACTACTTTATTATTTTCTTGATTCTGTATGAATTCTAGCAATTCGGCTCGTTCCTGCCGTTTTCACGATATCAAATTTTGATCAATGGGTGTAAAACTCATCGATGAATCGCATCCTTGAATGTCTTTAGTGGAATTTTCTCTTTCTATGCAATGTGATAAAGACAAGGCTACTCCTGGAGTATACTATAGTCTATAGTCAAGTGATATTGGCCGTTGGATGCAATTCGACGAATCATAATCACTGATTATTTTTTTGTCAAATATATTTTCGAGTTTGGGTTTTAAAACTCAAGGCGTGGGGGTTATATATTAGAGGTTAAGATATAGTATCATATCCCAAACTCGATTTAATTTATGGTAACAAATCTAAATGGAGATATGTCACTAGAAATAGTATACTTCTAAAAGTACGCCAACCTGAGTACCTGACACATTCTACAATAATGTATGGTATAAGCAAATAGTGAAGATAAGAAAGTATCAATATTCATGTTCTAAATTAACAATATACCATTGTAAAGTAAATCTTCATGATAGCTTGGTGCATATAATTAAAATACTTATTGTGACAAAGAGAACCTAGGACCAAAAGCAAACATCTTTTGATAGATGTAAGAAAATATGACCATATGAAAATACAAAAAAAGAAAAAAAAATCTCCGATTTACTTTAAAAATGAAACTTTCAAAAAAATCTAACCACTTGGTACATCTGGTGAATAGTTATATAGAGTGAGTGGCATTTAAAACTAGATTATTAGTAAATTAACCATAATTAAAAAATCCAGAACATATGTTACCACAAGTACTACAACCAAATAGCTCACAATTTTTCTGACTCGTTTAATAGCCTTCTAGAGAGGCAAATAAAATAAAGAAAAAGACCATATTTGTTTGGATCATAAGAAATCTCCTTCTTTATGAGCAAGTAAAATATTATTATTATTCCATAAAAAAGACTGCCAAAAGAAAGAAATCAAAGCAGAGAAAAATGAAAAGAAAAAAAAAAACCCGCGTAACATTTTCTTGTATCATCACCTTTTCAATTAATTTGGTTTCTAGAACGAGAGCGGGCCGAGGAAAACGATCAAATAAACTAGGAAAAAATGGAGGAAAAACAAAAACGAAATGCTTTGAGAAAAGTCAACAAAAATGCACGCAGATCCAATCCAGCCAGTCTACGTTCAAAGGGATCGTCCTGTTTCCGCCACCTCCCCTGTTTCCTCTTCTTCTTCTTCTTCAGCTACTTCTTCTTCTTCGTTTCCTTCTTCCCATTTCATCTAGAAAAGTCCCCTGATCGGGACGCCGGCAAACCCCTACAAGACCCAAAAACCCATTTCCCTTTCCTCTCCCAATACTATTCTTTCGCATTTGTTTCAACATTCCTGCCTTCTCCTATTTTTGTCCTTCTAGGACTTCTTCTTCTTCGTCTTCGTCTTCGTCTTTACCCCTTTTATTAATTTCTCTTCTGGGTTTTCCGAAAGGCGGAGATATCACCGAACTCCAACACACCCACTACTCGATTTCTTCCCCCACCTCTATCTCTCTGCTCTAGCTCTTGGCCGGATTTCATTGATTGTTCCGAAAGACTCCCTGCCCGCCAGGGGGGCTCTCCTCTGTCCTCTGTCTTTTCCCTTTTGTCGGATCCTCTGCTCCTCCATTTCATAAGGTTTTCTTTCTTCCCCTTCTCTCTCTCTCTCTCTCTCTCTCTGGCTGTAAAGCTCCCAACTTGAGCTTCTATGGACTGAATCTTGTGATTTTACATAGTGGGGTTTGGAGCTCCCCAGTTTTTGGATGATGGGTTATTGCTGCTTTTCAGACAATAGTGGAAAGAAATCCTTGTCTAACTATTTGGGTGCCTTTCTTAATTCTTATCAGCTCACTCTTTCTTGCTCTGCTCCTCTCTGCTTTTTTTCTGTTTTGAGGTTGTTTTCTTCCTTTTTATCTTGAGCTTTTATCTTGAGCTGCTTTCCTTTTTATGTCTTTTTCAAAGCAACAAGTAAGCGCACTTTAAAGCAGCTGCATTTAACTCCACAACGCCTTCCTAATTCCTTTCTGTTCCATTCAGGAGCTCCCAAATCCACAAATTGAAGGCGATCTCTCTGTTTCAGCTGCATTTTGGGAAGAAGGAATTATTGTTGTGAATTAAATCATGGGCGGAGGTAGAAAGAGAATAAGATTGAAGTTGAGCAGGCTGTACTCATTCAGATGCGGGAAAGCATCGTTTGAGGATGACCACTCACAAATTGGCGGCCCTGGATTCTCGAGGGTCGTGTTTGCCAACGAGCCAGATTGCTTCGAAGCTGGGATCCGGAATTATGATGATAATTATGTCAGTACAACAAAGTACAACGTCGCTACTTTCTTGCCCAAATCGTTGTTTGAGCAGTTCAGGAGGGTGGCCAATTTCTATTTCTTGGTCACTGGCATCTTGTCATTCACTCCTCTCGCTCCTTACACCGCTGTCAGCGCCATTATCCCTCTCATCGTTGTGATTGCTGCCTCCATGGTTAAAGAAGCCATTGAAGACTGGCACCGCAAACAACAGGTAATGAAAGAAAAGAAGAAAAAAAAAAGGAAACCACTTTCCTCTTTTTGCTGTCTTTTCTTCTGCGCCTAACTTTTGGGTTTTTCATTTTGGATTCTGGGTTGGTGTTTGTTTCAATCAAAATTTGGTGGTTGGGTTCAGGGAATGATTCCTGTTGACTTCGAATGTGTACGGTTTAGCGGTCCTTGATTTTGTGCTAGAAATATGCTCCATTCCTATCATTTTCCTGATTTTATTTTAAAAAACTTGGACTGACCACTTCGCAGTCAAGTTTTTATGGCTATAGCCTATCGATGCGTTTGTCTTGGTGCTTTGAGCTTTTTCGGATGATGTTGATCTTTCCTGGTTTATCATTTGGCTGAAATGTGGTTCTGCGATTTGGGTTTTCCCCCCCAGGACACTGAGGTGAACAATAGGACGGTTAAAGTGCACCAAGGAGATGGGGTTTTTAAACAAACCGAATGGAAGAACTTGAGAGTTGGGGATATAGTTAAGGTTGGGAAAGATGAATTCTTTCCTGCAGACTTGCTCCTTCTTTCATCCAGTTATGAGGATGGAATCTGTTATGTGGAGACTATGAACCTCGATGGAGAGACGAATCTGAAGCTGAAACAAGGAGTCGAGACAACTTCAGTCCTGCACGAAGAGTCTGAATTCACCAACTTCAAATCCATGATTAGATGTGAAGACCCAAATGCAAATCTCTACACCTTTGTTGGAACTTTGGAGTATGAGGAGAACCAATTCCCACTCACACCTCAGCAGCTGCTTCTGAGAGACTCGAAGCTCAGAAACACAGACTTTATCTATGGTGCAGTTGTATTCACTGGCCATGATACAAAGGTAATGCAGAATGCCACAGCTCCACCATCTAAGAGAAGCAATGTTGAGAAGAAGATGGACCAAATCATCTACTTGTGTTTCGGTATAGTGTTTTTGATGGCATCAGTTGGTTCAATCTGCTTTGGAATTTGGACCAGGGATGACTTGGAAGATGGAAGAATGAAGAGGTGGTATCTTAAACCGAATGACTCTGAAATCTTCTTTGATCCTAGAAAAGCGGTAGTTGCAGCAATCCTTCACTTCCTGACTGCTGTAATGCTGTATAGCTACTTCATCCCTATCTCACTCTATGTCTCCATAGAAGTAGTGAAAGTTCTTCAGAGCATCTTCATCAATCAAGATATCCATATGTACTATGAGGAGGCTGATAAACCGGCACATGCACGTACCTCAAATTTGAACGAAGAACTTGGACAGGTTGACACCATACTGTCAGACAAAACCGGGACTCTGACATGCAATTCTATGGAGTTCATAAAGTTTTCTGTGGCTGGTACTGCTTATGGCCATGGTGTAACTGAAGTTGAGAGGGCTATGGAAAGAAAGACCGGTAGTCCATTAAGAATCAATGGTTTGGAAGGGAAGAAGGATTCCTCTAGTAAAAGCCCTGTCAAGGGCTTTAACTTTGAAGATGAACGAATCATGGATGGGCATTGGCTGTACGAGCCTCGTGCTGACATCATCCAGAAGTTCTTTCGATTGCTGGCTGTTTGTCACACGGCCATTCCTGAAATTGATGAAGACACCGGGAATGTTACATACGAGGCTGAATCGCCTGATGAAGCAGCGTTTGTGATTGCAGCTCGAGAACTGGGTTTTGAATTCTATAAAAGGACTCAGACGACCATCTCAGTGAGGGAGTTGGATTTGCAGTCAGGAAAGAAAGTTGAGAAAGAGTATAGCCTTTTGAACGTGTTGGAATTCAACAGCACGAGGAAGAGAATGTCTGTTATAGTAAGGGACGAGGATGGAAAGCTACTGTTGCTTTCTAAAGGAGCTGACAGGTATTGTTGTGTTCAGAACATTTAACTTCTAATTTACATCTATAATGGATTCCTCATCTGAAAACTCATGATGGTTTCTTTTTATGTGTGGGCAGTGTAATGTTTGAAAGGCTTGCGAAGAGTGGTAAGGAGTTCAAAGGGGAGACTAGGACTCATGTAAATCAGTATGCTGATGCGGGTCTAAGAACCCTGATTCTCGCATACCGTGAGCTTGATGAAGCTGAATACTCAAATTTCAACTCAAAGTTCAACGCTGCAAAAAGTTCTGTTAGTGCAGATCGAGATTCATTGATTGAGAAAGTGGCAGCTGATATGGAGAAGGATTTGATACTCCTAGGTGCTACTGCTGTTGAGGACAAACTCCAAAATGGGGTAAGTTGGAGAAGGATCTGTATTTTTTGTTTGTTTTCCTTCTAATAGAAGATTTATTTTTGTAATATGATTATTCATTTTGCTTGGCATTGCATGTATCAGGTTCCTGACTGCATAGACAAGCTTGCCCAAGCAGGAATTAAGATATGGGTTTTGACTGGTGACAAAATGGAAACTGCCATCAACATTGGGTATGCATCTCACTTTTCAGTTCATTTCTTTCCTTTGTGCTTCCTTGTATTGACTTATACAAGTTTCAGGATGAAGGTTTTTTCTAACTAAAGCTGTCAATATGCAGTTTCGCATGTAGTTTGCTTAGACAAGGAATGAAGCAGATCATAATCAACCTCGAGTTGCCAGAACTCCAGGCATTAGAAATAGCTGGAGATAAGGCCGCCATTAATAAGGTAAATATCACCTTTGTACCATCAATTAATTCACTCTAGTTTGTTAGAGTTATATTTTTTCTGATGAGCTTGTCCAGTTTAACGGGATGCCATGTATTAACTGAATTGAAATTCATTCAGGTATCCAAAGCGCATGTTCTCCGTGAAATTACTAAAGGCAAAGCGCTAGTGTCAGGTGGAAGCGCTGATGCTTTTGCTTTGATAATTGATGGGAACTCACTCACTTACGCTCTGGAAGATGATGTTAAGAACTTGTTTCTCGAGCTTGCTGTGAGTTGTGCATCTGTCATTTGTTGCCGCTCATCACCCAAACAGAAAGCACTGGTAGGACATCACCCTTTTTCGCTTGCATCACTGCATCTCATCTCCCTTTTCTGTTCCACTTCCTATGTTTCCATTACCTTCACACTTCAAACCAAAATAATTAATTGGAATAATTACAGGTTACAAGACTGGTGAAAAATGGAACTGGCAGAACAACATTAGCAATCGGTGATGGTGCCAACGATGTCGGTATGCTTCAGGAAGCAGATATCGGTGTTGGAATTAGTGGTGTTGAAGGAATGCAGGTATGCTCTACGTAATTCTTTTTACTATTGTTTTTGGATGAAAATTTCTATATTTCTTGTTTGAAACTTATTTGGACTCTTTGTTTCTTTCAATTTCCAGGCTGTTATGTCCAGCGATGTTGCAATTGCTCAGTTTCGGTACTTGGAACGCTTGCTACTCGTGCATGGACATTGGTGTTACAGAAGGATATCATCAATGGTAAGTAATACTTTCACTTACATAGAATTTAACTTGCAATTGAAGAATATTTCGTCAAGTAGTAATAATTTCTTGTCCCCTTCATGACAACAGATTTGCTACTTCTTCTACAAGAATGTCACATTCGGCATCTCCGTGTTCTTGTATGAGGCATATACATCATTCTCAGGACAACCTGCATACAACGATTGGTTTCTCTCACTCTACAACGTCTTCTTCACATCACTTCCAGTGATTGCTTTGGGCGTTTTCGACCAGGATGTATCATCGCGAGATGCTATCAAGGTAACTAACTCACCAACTTTTATCAGCAATCTTCATCATGTTGGGTTAAACTCAACAACTGTCACTAAACTACCAGAACTAATGCAAGAAAACCGCTGAACTTTGTAGAATTGATGCACCATTAGTTACTTCATCCACTTTTCCATCCAAAAAATGAAGTTCTAACTATCATTTAGTCTCTTGAAGTTTTAAGAAGTCAGTTTAAGCCTATACTATTAAGCCAAGCCCAGTGACCAGTGAATTTGAGCCCACCATGTCTGTCAAGTTCTTTCCTTGAGTGATTCTTAAAATGAAGGTTTGTCCTTCCCTTTTGTACAGTTCCCTCTACTATACCAAGAAGGGGTACAGAATGTTCTGTTCAGCTGGCGCCGTATACTCACATGGATGATCAATGGCGTTTACAGCGCGATCATGATCTTCTTCTTCTGCACAAAGGCAATGGATATTCAAGCATTCAATGACGATGGGAAGACAGCTGGACGAGACATCTTCGGAGCAACGATGTACACATGCATTGTATGGACAGTAAACTTACAAATGGCTCTCTTCATCAGCTACTTCACAGTGTTACAACACATCCTCATCTGGGGATCCATCGCCTTCTGGTACGTCTTCCTCATGATCTATGGCGCCATGTCCCCTGGATTCGCCAACAACGCCTACAAGATCTTTGTCGAAGCCCTCGCCCCTGCAGCTTCCTACTGGCTCATCACACTTTTCACTGTGATCACGACCCTAATACCGTACTTCTCATACTCCACGATTCAAATGAGGTTCTTCCCAATGTACCATCAAATGATTCAGTGGATAAGGCACGAAGGGCAGTCGGAGGACCCAGAGTTCTGTGATATGGTCAGGCAGCGGTCGTTGAGGCCACAAACAGTTGGTTTCACTGCCCGTGTGGCAGCACGATCGAGTCGATCAAATAGTAGAGAGGAGAATCCGTTTCAGTGATATCAGTTGGAAGGCAGCTTAGGTGCTGACATACTGTCAGATTGTCTCTCCACGTGATCTCAACAGTTGGATCGAAGCGTGGCTAGAACAAAACATTCTTTTGACCCCTCTTGTTGCTTGATGGCTGGCAAAGAATCCTTGCCCTGACTGTATATGACCAGCATGGAGATCGGGGTGAGGGGACATTTTCGCTGTTGAAACTTGCTGCCTTCATGCATTTGATCCTTGTTTGTAGGTTAGAATGGTTTCAAGGGAATCTGTACAGGAGAAGCATTTAGAAATCTGGGATTGTTGTAGTTGTACTTGTACTATTCACAGTCGAGATCGATCAATCGGGTAGATGATGGCTGGGGGGAATGTAGAGCGAGTTTTCGGGGCAACTTTTGAGGCTACTGTTACATAGACAGTACTGGTTTATCTTCTACCTATATCAATGTTGTATCATTTGTAAGGATGTATATAGAATAGAGAGGTTGCACTGAAATTTATTCATTATCCACATTGTGGTTATCTACAGATAAAGTATGTTTAACCCTTGGTGGGGAGATTACTTGTTTCAAACGCTATTGGTCAAGTTCATAGCTGTGTTGGGAGGAGAATTGTCTTCTGGATCTTGTAAGCATTGTTGGGATGCCAGCACGCCAGTTCCATCTGGCATTCCAGCTTCCCATCTCTGCAGCTCCCTCCCACTTCAATGCCGATGCTGATGTGGTTGTTCCACCTGCATGAAGCATCCCCTTCTTACTCTGTCATGGCTATTGCTGCGAACCTCTGGGCAATCTGGAACGCTAGGAACGAGTTCGTTTTCAAAGGGGTCAGACCCACTCTCCAGACTACTACAGCGAAGGCTGTCAACCACTTCCCGATTGGAACGGTATTCCCCCGTCCCCAAGGATCGTCTCTACCCAGCCCCCTTCACCCCGTTCTAACCTTGATCCACCGCCTGGTTTCTTCCAATTAAAGATTAACTGTGATGGAGCTTTTGCCTCGGAATCACAGTTGGCGGCTTATGGCGTTGTCGTTCGTGACGGCCATGGACAAGTGATTGATGGAAAGGCTGGTACCTTTTTTTGTTCAACATCGATGGTGGCGGAAGCTAAAGCCCTATTGACTGCGCTCCAAATTGCTGACTCTTCAGGAATGTCTGCAATTGTTTACTCTGACTGCCAAGTTCTCACAAATGCTCTCCTTAGGCAAGGAGCTACTTGGCCATGGCATGTCAGAGCTTGGCTTCATTGTATGCGACATATCCTATCCTCAAATGATGGAATCAAGGTCTGCTTTACTCCACGAAGCAACATCAAAAGCGCTCATTGGGTAGCCAGAGAATCAGCGAGAGGAACTCTTCCTACTCAATGGATCCATATTCTTGATTTAATCTCACCTCTTCTGTAATAGGCTCAGCTTGTACCATCATCGATAATGAATGAAATGCAACCTATTGTCAAAAAAAAAAAAAACTCTATGGTCAGTAATCATGAGTAACCTGTTCACATCAGCATGACATCAGTAGCCTCTCTCTCCTGGAAAGTCTTTTATCCTTTTTTCTTATAATCTTTAACGGATGATTTCTCTCTCGTTTTAAGTCGAAATTTAATTTTTTCTGCACAGATAAATCAGATTAAATATGCTCTTCAAAATGATATCCACTTTAATATATTTTTAGTACAAAAAAAATTGAATAATTTTTTACCAGCCATTACCATATGATATGCTCCAATTTAATACCATATGGTAAGAAAGCGTACCATGATGGTATGAACATACCAATATGGTAAGAAGGTTGAATACATGATAATAGGAGTATATTAACTGTCATTTACGATTTTCATCATTGTTTACAACAAGTTACCACAAGTTACCAATCACGTACCATAGTGGTAAAGTATGGTAATTTTTGATCCAGTATTTCTTTCACCCAGAAATTTATAGATCCAATAGATCATGATGAACTCGTTCCTTCTGAGCAAACGTTTTCAAAAACGACTTAAAAACGAAGAAGTTACCATATGGTACGTAGTTGGTAAAAAAAAAATTCTCGAAATATATTGAAAATTGATCTCATTTTGTAGAGCACAACGAACTCGTTCAATCTGTGCAAAAAAAAAATTGAAGGCCACTACTAGCTCCGGCGAAATCAGATGATGAGATAAGGGGGGTAGGTCATCGGGGCACGACAATCCCATCTCCCACTCCGTCCCCCTCGCCTCCACCGTCTCCAAACCATTACGACGAAATGAATAGAGAAGCCACGCGAGGACTGAAGTCGAAGTACCAGTAGAAAGAAGTACTGAATCGCTGAGGTTTCTGGTGGGTGGGTCGACGACGAAGGACAGTCGAACCAGGGGAGGGAGACTCTGCCACGTTCTCGATCTTATCCTTCTCGTCGGTCGCCAGAGGCAGGGGTGAGCAGGATAAGAGGAGCGGCGGGGGTTGGGGATTGGACTGCAACCCTGGGATGCTTTGCTGGAGAAGAGGAGCGGCGAGGTTGGACTCTTGTTCGAATTGTCGATTAGGGATTTTACCGGATTAGGGGACATCAATTTGGTTTCATTTTTTTATTTTTTTCATTTCGTCTCTCAAAATGCTTCCATCGCTTCCAGGTCCCTCTCTCTGCCCCCGCTCTCCGTCCTCTGCCGCAGCCGAATCAACCGCAGAATATGCCTCCCCACCTTTAGCAGCAGCAGAAGTCGGTCAAGTTCGCTACCGATTATGACGATGAGGATGATTTTGATGATGACGAATTTGATGACGAGATGGACGTCGTTCCTCTCAATAAGCCACGCCAATGATGGGAAATGGTGGTATGATCGAACGCCGCCGCCGGCGGAATGCTTCCGCCTCATCTAGCTGCCACCGTCGCGAAGAAAGGTGGAAAGTAAGGCCGGAGGGTTTTATTTATTTATTTATTTTAGTTTATTATTTTAATGATGTGGAAATATTAATAGAATTAAATTTTTTATTTATTAATTTTCTAATTGCCACGTCAGATATTTAACGGTCAACTGTTAAGGTTGACTGCCACATCAGATAGAGTTAACGGAGAGTGACTAAACGTGGACCGTTTTAAAAATTTGAGTGATCAAAATTGATATTAATTTTTTCCAGTGACTAAACATGACGCATTTTAGTAAACCCAGTGACCAAACTTGGCATTAACCCAATTGTAAATCACTTATAACACCCTTTATATAATAAAAAATGAAAACATTCATGTTGGTACAACCTAATATTGTAATTTAGATAGATCTGGCTAGACTTGGAACAAGCTATGCCTCTTCCTAAAGTCTAACATCTTGCTTGACAACTCTTTAGTTATTTATTTTAAGAAAGGTTGACTTTCTCCTTGTTCTTTTCGACTTAAACTTAATAAGTTGAATTATCAGTGGTTTAGGGGATGAGTTAGGGTGGTTACTCAATTTTAAGTAATCATGGTGGCTACTAACATCTATACCCTTCATTATCCTTATTTCATCCTATTATTAAATTGACGGTGAAGATTAGATTAAGGGTAATTTTGAAAACGAAAAATATACCACACCAGATTTCTATCCTTTAAATAATTAATTTCTATATATTATAGCCAAACCCTAATCCCTCACTCTCCTCAACGAGACATGCCCGCCCGCCCCTCCCCGACGACGGCGAACCCATCGCCCTCTCCTCCTCCCCTGTGCAAAACATTCGCCCACCCCATCTCTCGTGAAGCCCATAACGATGCGAAGCACCTTGAAGTGAAGTTGGAAAAGGATGCTTTGGTTTCAGCGAGCAGTCAAATGACATGGAAAGAACCTAAAGAATATAACAGACGAAAGAGATACTCTGAATCTCCTAACACTCATGCTGATCCTTGGCATACGTCGCGGTACTCCTCCCGGCGGTGTCAAGCTAGTTACTCATTCAGATCTCGCCGCCGACAAGCCACTCGCCAGCTTCTTCTTTCACGGCCCAAAAAATCACGGCTCGCCAGAGCATTAGCAATGGAGTTCCTCGGGTCGACAGATTCGCTGGAAAAGGTGGGATGAATAAAAACCCTAGATCTGATTTTTTTCTCGCATTGGTAGTGATTTTTTCGTAGTGGTAGTGTTTTTTTGCATTGGTATTGTTTTTGTCGCATTGGTATTGATTATCATGTGATTTTTTTTAAATGGTAGTCATTTTTTCCCGTAGTGGTAGTGTTATGGTCGTATTGGTATTGTTTTTGTCGCATTGGTATTATTTTTGTCGCATTGGTATTGATTTTGTCGCATTGGTAGTGATTAAATCTGCAATGGTATTGATGTTTTCTGAAATGGTAGTGTTTTTATTTCTGGAATGGTATTGATGTTTTGTATAATGGTAGTATTTTTTTAATGGATTGGTAGTGATTTCATGTTTTTTCTTTTGCAGAAAGTTTGAGAAAAATATGGAAAGGAGATCTGGCTGGAGATTATGGAAGTGAGAGAAAGAGAAAGAATTGTAATTAATAGATTTTTGTAACTACCTAAAATATAATTTATTAATTTAATTAATTAATATAATTTATTTTTCCATACCCAATTTACCCTTAGTAACCACGGTGATTACTATAAAAAAGTACTCACCGTAACCGCTCCCAGTGGTTTAGACTTGCTTTTCTACTACTAGATTGGTTTTGGTGACAACTTTTCATTTGGATCCTAATAGACTATTTGGATCTAATCAATGAATTGACCCAAATCAGATCCAATCCAAATACAATTCTAAAAAAAGCATTTGAATTTATTTTGATCCGTCCTACACAACAATATGGCTCTTAACAATTGTGTCAAATCACCTAATAAATCGACTTGTAAAATCGTAGACGTTCCTACTAGTGTTTCTCAATTAAAACCTACCCATTACTTTATACAACTTATCGATCAAATTTGACCTTATTAAGAACAGAAAACATTTTAATAATGAGACTATGAAGCCTTGACACAAAAAAAAAAGCTCATATCCCCTCCAAACAAAAAGATACCATCTGCAATTCTGCATCTTGGTAACAAGTAATTCAACATTGTCCCATTTGAGGTTGTGTATAACAACGCGCTTCTTCTTTTGTTTCTGCCATTGAAACATTCCAACTCACCCAACAACATAACTTGTCAATGCCTCCATTATTCATCCATCCTTCTGTATATAAAAACAAAGAAACTCCATGCCCCAAGTAAGCACCGTCCCTGTCAGTGTTAAAATTGAAAACTCCATTAGCTCAACAAATACAATAATGGAAGGAACCATCAAAGGAAGCAGCCACCGCAAAACCTAATAATAACAAAACCCATCATTTTAATTTTACAAAGAAAAAAAGTAAAAAAGAAAAGCCTCTCCTTTCCTATTATTTCCCTCCCCTGTTTCTCTGGCCCCTGTTTTTTCTCCCTCCCCTGAATTTCCCTTCCCCTGAATTCTAGGTTTTCAAGCCTCCTCGAATCCAACCCACTTTCCCCCTCTTCCTCCTCCTCCTCCTCCTCCTCCTCCGGCCGCCTGCAGCCAGCCACCATGATTGCGGCGGCGGCACTGCAATCCGACCAGATCCAGCAATTGAAGGACATCTTCGTGCGGTTCGACATGGACTCCGACGGCAGCCTCACCCACCTCGAGCTCGCCGCCCTCCTCCGATCCCTCGGCCTGAAACCCACCGGCGACCAGCTCCACTCCCTCCTCTCCAACATCGACGCCAACGGCAACGGCTACGTCGAGTTCGACGAGCTCGTCTCCGCCATCCTCCCGGACATCAACGAGGAGGTCCTCATCAACCAGGAGCAGCTCCTCGAGGTCTTCCGGTCCTTCGACCGGGACGGCAACGGCTACATCACCGCCGCCGAGCTCGCCGGATCCATGGCCAAGATGGGCCACCCGCTTTCCTACAAGGAGCTGTCGGAGATGATGTGCCAGGCCGATACCAATGGCGATGGCGTCCTCAGTTTCCAGGAGTTCGCCAACATCTTGGCTAGATCAGCCGCTGATTTTCTCGGCCTCGCCGTCAAGTGATCGCCGTCGCTGCTGCCGGCGGTTTTCTAGATCGTGGAGGAGGAAAGAAGGGGAAGAAGAAGAAAAATCCGAAAAAAGAAAAAAGGAACCGGTTGGTGGGATAACCCTTTACATTTTCTCATCATTCTGTTCTGTTTTTTCCATTTTTGTTCTCCAGGCTAATTTTCTGTGTACATAAACATAATGGTAATGTTGCTTCGCAGGCGCAGAAATGTTGCAAGGGAAAAAACAGAAATTGATGGTGATTAATGAATAGTTTAACTTTTAACTTTGTTCTGCTTTTCTCCTTAATTACTTCAGTTCTGAAGCTTCGATAAATCTAATCTCTCTCAATCTAAAGATACCAAGTTACCAACACATACATTTGAAACGGTATATTTTGCGTATGAAAATCAAACAAAATTCATAAAAGTAAGTGTTTTAGGCATATACCTCTGGAATTTACTTGAGAGTTTACCACTCACCTCTTTCATTAATCAACATTATATGAAGGTGGACTCTAACACTTAGTCAAATTCTATTACCATCATGTGTCTGCTCCTCTTGAATGATATCATGTTTGACACTCCAATACTCGATATGCTTGACACCCTAGTACTTGGTAGGTGGATATATGGGATTGCCAAATCGACTCCCTTTCACGATGGATACTTGAAGGTTTTGGTAAAATTTTGAAGTTTGAAAGTTTTTAGATTTATTAGCAATTTGTTGTATTATGGATTTGAAAAAGTCTATGCTTGTTTTGTTAGCTGGATTATGGAGTTATTGTTGTTGTTGTTGGTATATAAAAAGTTTGGTTAATTGTTATCATTATTAGGTGCATTCTCTCAAGAGGCTACATAGATCATTTTTTTCTTCTAGCCATATCAATTTATGTTTTGTTTAAAAAAGCCACATATTTCCCTTTTCTTTTAATCTTTTATTTTTTAATTTCTTTTAGTCACATGGGAAACTTTTAATTGTCTGTTTTTATCATTTTAATTATGATGTGCTAAAAGCCGACATATTTTTCATATTTGATTTTGTATTTGTTACTCATCTCTTTCGCTCGGCCTCGAATAGAAAGAAAAAGCGGAAATCTCCAACCCGGTTAAACATGACGAAGGCGGCATCGAAACCGATGGAACCATATGCTATATTTTTAATTTGATTCCATTGCTTTGGTTATTTTTTTTCCATATATGTAGAAATTTAGTAAATTCGCTAACTAATAGTTGTGGAACTCCAACTGAACATGTTTTTACTTAGTTATATGTAAATCATCCTATGTCTAACCCACAATATTTTTGTGATTTTTTGTGTGCTGATTTTGTAGTTGTCTTATGAGTTACATTTTGCTACTTCTTTCACACATATTTATAAGTCATTTTTCACTTGACGCAAAGAGCAGCAAGCGGGCTTATCTAGTAGCTATTAAAATTCGATTTACATTAGTACCCTTTCATGTCTTTTGTTATTATTCTCACCATCCTTGGAGAATACATGCAACATCAATATCAACAAGTGACTCGTCGAATCTTGTGGCTATCATTGGCTTTGAAGTCGACAATGGTGACTCTAATTGTTTCTTTTGCTTCATCATCGGTAAGAAGAAGAACAAGGAGTTTTTTGGGATTATAGATCTCTAACCACTATGAGACATTACTGCTCTTTCATCATATTGCCAAGCACAAAAGTGATTATGTTGGTCCTTGGTCAAATTCCTCCAACAAATAAAAAAATATGGACTTAGTTCAGTCATTGGTCATCGTCTTGATATCTTCTGCAATTAAGAGCTTACAGAAGCAAATCACCCAACTTCTCCAAAACATTCGCTGGATTCCTCGAATTGAATCTTCACAATCAATGTAGTAAAAAGCGTGATTCTACCTAAAAGTGGTTGGATGACCTAGAAGCGTAAAACCGTAAGCTTTTATAGGTTTTAAAGGTTAACAAATTATTTATATATTTGGGTATGAAAATTCCCAAATATTATCGAGAATTTTGGAACAATAAATATGAACTGCAATCAAGAGAGTCCCATCACTATTACCCGATTCTGGTTGGACTTGGACTCATTATCCTGATCGCACCTAAAAAAAATATAACAAATCTAAATATGAAACAAACTAACAAGCAAGCTAAGCTCATGATGCACTCGGATTTCTCCAAATCCCTGAAGGCGATCTCTCATAGTCTAGCAATTTATCGATCGTCTGGAACGACCCGTATGATGAACGTGACAAAGAATGAACAATTTCAATCAATTCAAATTGTACGGCTCTAAAACCACCCGACTCCTTCTTCTTCCTCTGCTTCTTAGCTCCACCACTACTCCTTCCCGTCGATGATGAAGTCGAATTATGTGATGAACGTGGAGAAGCCATTCTTGATCTCCCCCAAGATATTGGCGACGACGACGGTGAGAACGATGAAGATGAAGATGAGGATGATGGTGAGCCCATTTTGCTCACTTCCTTCCTCCAAAAGCTCCCAAACCCAAACTCACCTTTAGCATGGCATTCATCAAACACCCTCTCTATTTCCTCAATGCATTGATGACGATCTTCACCCATGTCAAGATGCTCAATGATGTTGTCATTATCGGCATTGGACTTCTTGAACTCCTCTAACAGGCCTATGTCAATGCACATGGATCCTTCATTGTTGTATATATCAGCAAACATTTCTCCAAACTTGGCAGTTCTTCTCCCCACTAGCTCTGTCTCTATCTTCTTCCTGCTCCTCATCTTCAGCAGCTTCTTTCTCGCGTAGTTCCTTGTCCGGTTGAGCAGCCTCCTCGGCAGCTTGAGGAACAGGTAGATGAGGAATTGCAGGAGCAAGCATTGGCAGCAGCAGGATAGCACTACACAGTCTGCAGCCATTTGGTTGCAGTCTTCCATGGCTGCCATGGGTGGCAAAGCTAGCGGGGAGATGTTTGAAGATGGTTTGATGATGATGATCGGCAAAAGGGTTCACATGGTTTTTGAGAATTGACAATTGAGGAAAGGTTTGGAAGATGTGTGGGATTGGATTTCAGTGTTGGAATATTGAACGTCAAAGGAACTCTGCCTTTAGAGGTGGAGAACATGATTTCTTATGAATTACTCTTTTCCAGTTGCGTTTCTGGGGGTTTGAGAAGGGAATTTTGGAGGGTTTGCTTGCTTTGGGTGACTTCATTCCTCGTCTTGTCTTGGAGTGCTTTGCAGACTTTTCTTTCCTTGCCTTCTGTTGCTATTCTTTTGTTTTCCCAGTTGCCCAGCTGGATATTTGGATTGCTGTTCCATCAGATTTTTTCATTTTTCACCTGACAATTCTGAGAATCAATTCTCCTCCTTAGTTGAGTGACCCTTTTTCTAGTATCAACACAGCCATTAATGGAAACTTTGTGGCTCTTCAGTCCCTCAAAATCACTCTTAAATGGCTGCAAGGCGGTAGGTGATCAAGCTCTTTACCGGCGGCTTTCTGTTGCAGAGACATATATCCATGCTTTCCAGGTAAGGCTTTATGTGATAATGACATCGATATTCATTCTGTAAGAATAACTCAAACAGCTGACAGAAACCCAGAATGAAAAATTCTGATCCGAATCGATTTCAAAATTGAGCCTTTACAATATTTCTGGTGGGGCTATTTACAGTAATCAAAACCCTATAAGGGATATAGTGGAAAAGCTAACCCTTAGCCCAGTTACTAGAAAGGCTGAGGAATGAGCCATTTTCCTAAACCTGATTTTGCCCTTCACCCTAGAGGCTGACAATTCTATGTACCCCAATAGTGAAGATCACCCTGAACCTCTCATTCAACCTCTGAACTTTGCAGGGTAATTCACAGCTAAATTTTCATTCCTACCAAAATTTACTTTCATACTAGACTGTCATTTCGGCTGTTCATACTACTATGGCTAAAAAAACCTGAACTAAAATCTTGGCCTCCAAATGCCATCCTTTGCATGAGTCTAAACTGCTCCGACTCTTCTGGTGTCCTGACTATCTCACTCTCCCCAATTTTCATCCCGTTGGTTAAATCTGCTGCAGCTATATCGCCAAGAGCTCTGACAATCTGAGAAACATAATAATGTAGGGAGCATAAAATTAGAAAAATGCAGCCAGCCAGGCTATCAGCCACAAGTTGATTGACTAGATTATTCATACTTGTTCCATGCGAGGCCTCTTGGCAGCAGAATGGCGAACACAGGCTGCAGCTGCCTCAATCATCCTGAACATCTCTTCTTCAACATAGTTCTTGTCAAGCCTTGGGTCGATTAGACCTCCTAGTTCGCCGCTGACTAGTGCATGGCTCAGAAAAGGTCGTGCCTGGAAAGGGCAAGTTCAGATATCTGAGCACCAAATCCTATTGAAGTTCCAGACCTTCAAAACCTATAAGTCGAGCGTTTATTCTAATTTTCTACTTCATTAAATACACAGAAAGCTGTTGACAAGATTTGGCCTTCACCTAGATATGATCTTAGACTAGAGAGAATATTTGGATAAATATGTAAACACTTACACTATGACAGTGGTTGAGGTTAAGACTGGTCAGAAATAAGTTAAGATAGTTAGGTTTTCTTCCATAGTTGAATGCCCCCATGAAGTTTCATTTCCTAAGAAGACAATCCCAACAGTAGAGTAGGAGGCAACTTTGGATTTTCAAAAGCTGGAGAAAAGTACGTAAAGCAATTACCCGTTCAACTAGACTCTCTTTTCCTGGTGACTGGGAAGGATCCAGTGGCTTCTGCCCAGTGATCAACTCCAAGAGCACAACTCCAAATGAGTATACATCAGATTTCTCAGATAACTTGCCACTTGTTGCATACTCTGGGGCGACATATCTGGAATAGCAAAATCAAACATATAGGTTCAATTTAAGTCGGGTCAAAATACTGAAAGAAGGTATGTCATTCTCACCTCATGAAGGTTTTGAGGAATCTAAAACGAAGATGAGAAAGGCGCCTTACCCATAAGTTCCCATAACACGGGTTGTCAAATGCGTATATGCATCAGGGTTTAACTTGGCAAGACCAAAATCTGAAACCTGTAGCTCAATCAAGTCCAAATGTTTAAACTCCTATTCTGCATATTTAATGACACATTGGCAACTGTAGATTACAAATTATGCATACCTTGGCTTCAAAGTTGTTATCCAAAAGAATGTTTGATGACTTGATATCCCTATGAATAATCCGAGGATGACCTACACATGTAAAATAACAAAACCCAAAATGAAAAAATCCATCTCCAATACAGCCTACTGAAGGTACTTGGATTTCATAGCCTGAATACTGAGATGATGTGAGCTGGTTTGTTAAGATGAGCAAACAATACAAGTACTTACAGTCTTGGTGTAGATAAGCTAATCCACGAGCTGCACCAACAGCTATTTTGATACGATGTGGCCAGTCCAAAACAGGTATACCTTCCTCTACAAGAGTATAAGAACCAACATAATTTCAAAAAGCAGCAATTGTAATGAGAATTGTTAAGTACAAAACTGAAGCTGTATTTTCTTTTTACCATGGAGATGGAAATCAAGGGTATTGTTAGGGACATATTCATATACAAGCAATCTCTGGCTGTCCGAGATGCAATAACCAACAAGTGAAACCAAATGACGATGGTGCACTCGGCTTATGATATCAACTTCAGCTTTGAATTCCCTTTCACCCTGGCTTCCATGTATGTTGAGTTGCTTCACTGCAACCTCTCTCCCATCTGGTAAGCAGCCTTTATATACGCATCCAAATCCACCTTCACCCAATAGATTCTGGCTCGAAAAGCCATTGGTTGCTGTGACCATTTCTTCGTATGTAAACAAAGACCTAGAATGCATTAGTCCACCAGGCTCTGCTGGTGAAGAAATGAAGTCACTGCTAGAACCACTGCCCATCAGTGGAGCTGTAGTGGACTGCGTTTTTGTGTAACTGGAATCTGGAAAAGCAGTTAAAACCGTTCAGAAGAACATCATCTTGACTTTATTAACACCAACAGAAAATTTACTTATTTTAGTTGTACAGATGAAGTCATTTTCAACATCCATGGACTGTGATACTTAGGTTTATCCATATTGGTACACTAACTGTAGCAATAGAAAACCATTCATTAAATTAGGTAAATTCAGGTGGACTGCAGGGTTTACAACAGCACAGAATCGAACGATGTCTCCAAGAACAGCTATGCATCGACTAAAGCTTTTTCCAAAATGTGAGAACATCATAATATTTTGAGAATTAAGTAATGTACACTTCCAAATTATGGCAGACATTCCAGTATGCTACTAACCAGCAGCAAAATTAACATTCAGATGTTTGTTTACCTGATATTGGGGAGGATGCAAAAGGTGAAGGCACCACATAATCACCATTGACTCTAGAAACAGATCTCCCGCGTTTCTTTATGCACCAGGCAATTACCCCGATAAGAGTGAGCATTAAGATTCCCAGCGTTACTCCGATACCCACTATGGCTCCAGTACCGATCCCACCGTCTCCACCATTTTGATCAGAAGGTGCATTCGGAATAGTTTCATTGTTCACAGATGATGGGGGAGAAGAGGATGATGGAGTATTCCGCGAGGGAGGAGGTGGAGCCAGTCTGATTACTGGTGGTGGAGTTGATTGAGTAGAATTTGTTCCAGAAGGTGGTGGTTGTAGGGTAGGAGTAGTAGGAGGCAATGAAGCATTATTTGGAGGTGGAGGTGCACCTCTTGGTGGAATTGAAGGTGGAGGAGGAAGAGGAGGTGAATTCCTAGGTGGTGAGGGTAGACTAGTAGGTGGTCGTGATGGGGTTTCTGGTGGTGGTGGTGAACTTTCAGGTGGAGTAGATGCTGGTGGAGGTTGGATATCAGGGGCAGGCGTGGATGGAGGTGGTGGAGGACGCGAATTTGGCGGTGGCTGTGGTGTTGATGGTGGTGATGGCGAAGGTGGAGAAGCACTTGTGGGTGGATTAGACGGTGGTGCTGGAGGAGGCAGTGTAGATGGTGGATTAGAAGGTTGTGATGGTGGTGGAGAACTAGGCGGAGGTGAATCAGATGGTGGTGGAGTCGATGGTGTTGCTGGCGGAGGAGGTTGTGATGATGATGGTGGCGGTGGAGTAGGATCATCTTGTGGAGGTGGGGATGTTGTTGGAGTAGGTGGAGGAGAGGAGGATTGTGGTGGTGGTGATGAGATGGATGGCGGGGGTGATGCTGCAGTTCCTGAAGGTGTGGGAGCAGCAGGATTTGGAGGATTCGGGGCTGGAGCTACTGTTGCCATCACTATTATATAACCAAATCAATTCAACCCACGGATTTCTCTCAAATCACCTAATCCAAATGCCAAAATTGAAAGCTGGTTCAGTTCATCTTCCACCCAGAATTCTGTCTAGCAACGTAGATGGCAAAAATGGAAGCACCACAATTGACACAACTCACAGATTATCAACTATACTGAAGCTCAATCGTAGAACTGTGTAGATGCTTGCTGTAAAAATATAAACACAGGAACCACAGCTCAGCAGAGTCTCCCAAATTAGAAAACTTGAAGCAAAATTCTGGATTTTTAGCTTAAACCAGCTCAGCCAAGCAAGTTTCCGATCACCAATCGCTACCACCAGTATCCAATCCGAAAACAGAACACGGAAAACCTTAGTTTACCAAAATTACTCGGTTACTTGCAGAAGCAAAAGTCACACCAACTAAGCTAACTAGTCAAAGCAATAAAAAACCACTAAAACCCCCAGCAAGAAAACCAGCAACCCGATCAACAGACCGATTCGAAACCAGACGAAACCACAACTCAATCCTCGCTGCTCTTCTAAGCAATCTCAGGAGCGCCAAAATGGAGCAAAACCCATATCACAGAACTGGTTCAGAAAGAAAACCCACATGCCAAAAAGATCTCGGAAGACCCTCTTACCTTGTACTCTCATGCGTTCATCCTTCACCACCAGTAGTGGAAAATGGGGAAATGTCACAGCAGAGAAGTTTCTAATTGCGGTCAATAAAAGGCTGAAAATCTCCTTCAAACTTTCTCCCTTTGTCCTCCTCTACAAGAGAAAATTCCCTTCTTCTCGCTCAAAGTCTCGAGATTTCATAAGAACACGGAGTTGTGGGTCCCGGAAATCACAAGTAGCATTGCTGCTGACAAAGAAGCGCCAAAGGAGACAGCAACGGATTATAAAACTAAGCTGAATCACGAACTTAATTAAGGTAGTTTTGAGGAAATAAGTGTAAAAGAGATGGGTTATTTTCCCCCTCTCACGCCGTCATCATTGCACTCAGAGGCTAAGGAAGGTAGGCGCGCTTTCCTTTCCTTCGCAGTAACGTCAAAGTTTATGTTTTTATAGTAAGCAGAGACCAGAGAGAGTAAATAACCCGTAATTTTTTTTTTATGGTTAATAACCCGTAATTTATGTTTCCTTTATTCACCAAAAATCTACTTTGCTTTCCGTTCGAATTGACACTCTTGAAACTTGATCTGTTATTTATTCTATCACATGTCAACTAATAGATTAATGTTGTGATAACACGAGAGGTGCCCAAGTCAAGTTTTGCCTTTTGTGCTGGATGGATCTTCAGCTGATTAAAATAAAAACCTCCCTCATAAGGAAATGTTTAGTTCGACTATAAATGGCTGATTTTAGAGGTTATGAAGATTGATGTTTCAAGTTATCATCCTAAAATTAGGACAGACACTATGGAAAAAGATCTGTGCTTTTCTCCATACTGAGTTTATGTCCTTGGTTGGACATTCAATGAACACAAGTTCTGCAGGAAAGGACACCTATTTTAAGCAACAATATCAAAACACAGATTCCTTATTGCTCAACCTTCACAACGAGAAGAAACATAACCATGATCACAAAAATTGGTTTACACAGTCACAACTCACATGATGCGCCATTGATGAGGAAACTTAATAATGCATAGTTTGCTTTTTAGGCAAGTAGCCAGCTGCTATGTTAGCACATGATAAATGGTTGAACAACGTCCGGAGTTACGAAACTGGTGAGTGTATGATGTTAATACTTACTACTGCAGGATTCTCCCTCACATTTCTTTCCACAGATCGCCATTGCTCGTGCCGAATGCCTCATTTTTTTCCGTTCACGGATCATCGATCCTTCGACCAGTAGTTTCCATAAAGAGTTTGGTGATTGTGAGAGTTGCATCCAAAACCTTGGCCCAGCATGTAATGAGAGTAAGGACCACATGCGTGATAAGGAGATAAGCTTATAGCTAGTTGCCTTCTTGGGACTTCCTTCTGGAGATGACCTCAGCTGCCCAACTTTTTCCCAAGTCAGTCTGAAACTTCCCTGCGGATGCCAGATTGGGAAAAATGTCATTAATCAAAGGAAGATCACAGCATTTAGGGAAGTCTATTATCATAATGTGAGTTTTGTGAATCTTTAGTAATAGTAAATTCTACCTGCAGTTGAAATGAAAAATTCATCCAACAGCTTCCCATGTTCTGCAGAGACATAAGAGTGCATGGGGATTAAAATGAGAAAGAGAATTTTGCTCATGGGAGTAATTGGTAGCCAGGGTAATCTGTAACTAACCAGTTTCATATTCCAATGCTTGCAAAATCATCTCAACCTGTCAAAAAGATGTGTGATCTCGCGTTAACAAAACATGCAAAACTCATAATACATATACCAAAGGGGAAGACACAATCTACACCAGTTTTCAATCTATACATACTTTGTCAAAATCCTTGACAAGGTTAGCCTCCAAGGAAGCATTGTTTTCATACTCGTACCATAGCTCTTTGATCTCTTCAGCTGCAGTAAGCAAATATTTATTACAAACAATTTAAATCTCAAATCAAGATCAAGGATCAGCAAATACCCCTCATCCCTCCACCAAGCATTTTGCACATTTCCTTCAATGCTGCCTGCTCACGCCTGCTTTTTTCTGCCTTCGGCACACCATCAGATGGTGTTATATCTCCAACAATAGCTATTAAAGTTGAAGCAAGAATTCAGATGCCAATACAGGAGCATGTGTGCCTAATTTATCGACGAGTAGAAGTTGACAAAACAATGCAGGAGCTAATTCTCATTGAATCATTATGATCACATAACGATCCTTCAAATTAGAGGAACGTGGCTCTAAAAGGTAATGCCAGTTGGCTATCCTAGATAAGCCTACCCTTATCTACAACCAAGAAGTATAGATATAGAGAATTGTTGCAGATTCTTAGTTGGCACCTGGAAATGTTACTATCATTCTAGTGAAAACCCTTCTGACAGCAAATCATATGCATTATCAGTTGAAAAAGCATTTAATTACCGTAAAAGCGATTTAAGACTTCAAATTAATAAATTTAGATCCGCAAGAAACAACCTCATCAACCATCAGAAGGACAGTAGAGATAACATAATCAAAATAATACCTTCTGCAATATCATGGACGATTGCAATCTTTATACATCTGCACCAATAAGGTAACCAAACGAGTTTCAGTGAGCAAATCCCAGTTACATGTCCACATGCATAAAGCAACCAAGCACCCTAACAAAACTCATTGCTCAACCCAACCAAGTATGTGAGAAGCAAACCGAAAGCACCCGAATTGTAAGAGAAAACACAAGATTAACACAGATCGAAATCACATTCTCTAAATTCTTGAGCCTGCAGCTGCCTCCAGTCACGCATGCAGTCATTTTATCTATACATTACGCCCTAATGAAATAGAGAAAAAATGCTCTGTACCGGAAAAGAATTCAGTCAAGTAAACCCGTATCCGCAAAGTAATTTCCTCAAACAGTAGAACAGCCTTGGTAAACATACGCTACCCATTGATCCCACATTTGCTTGCTAGCTACGAATTAGACAAAGTTCCCACGGTACCAATTCCATCCCGGGCATCACTATTCGCGAAACCAATGAAATCAAATGACCAAGAGCGTGAATTTCATCACATATTGAAATTTCACGCAGTACAAAGCACCAACCTTTCTCGGTTGACACCGGGAATGTCACCGACGATCAGAGACATGAGAGCCATGCGGTACATATGATCAGCAATCGATTCAGCGTCATCAATCCCATGATTAATCCACCCCTTCCGCTTCGTGGTCTGCCAAAAAAAGATTACCATCGAATCAATTATACAACCAATTAGGTTAGGTGGCATAATGCAAACCTTTTCCTAGTTCCAATTTACCTTCAAACGGTGGCAGAAGGTGAGAAAATCGATGGACGAGGAGACCGAAGACGACGACGACGATTCTGTCTCCGCCAAATCCGCCTCCAACGCCGATTTGATCGGCCCACGCCCTGTGGAACCGTCGGGATTCCGGGAGTGAACGGAGACGGCGAACCTCGGGAGCGGTGGTGCCTCAGTGGAGAAAACGGGCCGGAAAAACGTCCGGGTGGAGAAAACCGAGGAAGCGGAACGGCTGCCGGAAGGCCGGGAGCCTCCGAGAGCGGGGGAAGAGCAGTACGTTGTGGGAGAGGCAGCCATCGTCGGCGGGGGGAAATGTGTGTCGATCGCCGGTGAAAACGAGGGAGGGCCCGGGGGTTTTGGTTGTTGTACGTTGTCGCCTTTTCGGAATCGTCGGGGAGGACTCTGTTCTGTTGTTCTGCAAGTGAAAGTGGACGGAAGCAAGCAGTTCCGAATGGGATGGGCCTTTTATGGGCTTTGAGCTGGATTTGTTGTATGGTCTTTGAAAGGAAGGCCTGCTCTTGTATGGGCCCAGGCCTCAACCTAACTGGGTTGGCTCCGTTCTCGACGGGTTTCACTGTATTGGATATGTTTGTTGAACTAACTAGTTAGTGGCAGGCTGAGGCAGGCAGCAGAGGGGAGCGGATCCCCTCAGTAACCAATACCTCAGTAACCATTAGTAACCCCTTCCCCTGGCCCCCACGTGTCAACTTTTTATTTTTATTTAAAAAAAATGCGGAGGGGCACTAAGGTAAAATTGCACTCATATTTAATGATGTCTCTGACGCGCTGACGCGCTGACGCTGACCAGATCACATCAGCGCCTTCTCTCTCCTCAAACAACCTTTAATTTTCCTTCTCTTAATCTTTAACGGACGATTTCTCACTCGTTTTAAGTCGAAATTTAATTTTTTTTGCACAGTTAGATCAGATTAATTGTGCTCTTCAAAATGATATCCACTTTGATATTTTTCAGACATAAAAAAATTTGTCAGTTATTACCAGTCATTACCATATGGTAATGACTGGTATTGACCATACCATATGGTATGAAAAAATTTGGCACATCAATATATATTACGTTACCACCCAATACCATATGGTATAGTGTGGTAATATAAATATATATTTCGTTACCACCAAATACCATATGGTATAGTGTGGTAATATCAACATATGGTAAATCTAACTACCATACAATGCCAACATAGTAGAACATGGTTAATCGAATGAACACAAATTAATTGTAATTACCATACAATACCACATGGTATGAGAAGTTAAAACCATATAAAAATAATATAAATCTAATTACAACCCTTTTACGACCATAGTAAAACACGATATCCATAAAAATACATTTCGTTACCACACTTTACCATATGGTATACATTTTACCATATGGTATAGACACATTACCATATGGTATAGACACTTTACCATATGGTATATACACATTACCATATGGTATAGACACATTACCATATGGTATAGTGTGGTATATACACATTACCATATGGTAATGTGTCAATACCATATGGTATCGACACATTACCATATGGTATAGTGTGGTAATCTCAATATATATTCTCAAAGAAGGGGAAACAGAAGGAGGAAGAGGAAAAAAAACTTGTCTTCTGTCTCCTGTCATTTACTCCTCCGCAATGAAGAACACCGAATGCAAAAAGAAAGAAAAAGAGGAAGAAGATCGGAATTAATTCACAAACAAATACTAAAACACAAAAGATGCAAACTCAACTCACCTAGATCTGTCCCCTCTTTGACAATATGGAGCATCATCGATTTTGAGGCCGATAAAAGAAAAAAACATAAGGAAGGAGCAGCTTGAGAGTAGAAGGATTTGGAGCCTCACCGAATTTGAAGTGGGAGGCTGCAATTTATTCATCGATTGTTGGAGAAAAAAACGAAGAACAAGAGAAGAAATGAGATTTAGATCTGGAAAAAGAATTTTGGAAGAGAGAAAGGAAGAAAGAGAAAAGAGAGAGGAAGAGAAAAGTCTGCTTTTTCTCTTTCCTCCATTAAAAGATAACACATATAAATGCTGGAAAAAATAAAAAAAAGGAAAGAAATCAAATTTCAAAAATCGGACAAAAATGCCCCTCCTCACTCCACGTGCAGCCCAACAATATAATAATGTCATCCCTAGATCTACGGTCCGGATTTAATACTGATAGGTCAGTAACCAATGGTTACTGACCCTATCTGCTGCCGCAGCAGAGAGCATCCAAACCCGATTGGTAAATTCTTAGCGGGTTTACCACCTCGATGTTAGTAATGCGGTAACGAAGCACAAGATTATGACGTTACGATTGGTCGTTCCTCGTACTTAAATTAATTATGAAGTCATGAACTTGATCTCTAATCCTCCCATTCTATTATGGAGGTTCTCCACCAAAAGCCTATTAATTCCACTTTTCCAGCCTCCTGCGCATAGTACGGATGGGTGTTTTGGTCAAATGGTTCTAATTTAGATTGGCCAGAAACAAATGCAATAGGTGGGCTAAGCCTGTGTTTTTCCGGGGTATTACGCTGAGGATGGGGATTTTGTTTTAATTTATATTGGTCATATAAGTCCAAAATTACTTCTAATTACTTCCTTCTAATCATATATTATTATATTAGTGTTTGCAAATACAATTAGAATTAGTGCTACAATGTTAAAGTATCAATTCAATTTGTACAAAAATATATCGATACAAACTGTACCATAATGTTAAAGGACAGTTCCGTTTGTATCATAAATGAATTTTTATGACAAGATATATTTACAACTAAATTTGTAAAGTGACATTAAAAGTACAATTTAGTTTGTAGTAGAAAAAATTTGTATGAAAAGGTATAGACACAAAATGAATTTGACTATAACATTAATTTGTACTATACATACATTTTTTTTCAAATAAAAACATTGTAAAATTCATCTCTACATATTTATTGAAATTATTATTAGCAATTTTGTTTTACTGTATTCATTTAGCTAATTTATAATATTGATAGTTTATTAACATAATTTGGTGTATAATCAAGGTTCATAATCACTTCGTTATTAGTTTTCAATTATTCATATTACATTTTGACATATTTGGAATAAAATGTATGTTATCTAGCATCATATATCATATATGATAGCATTCATGAACTATCAATTCTTCTATAATGGTACCCAAACTATGCAATAATTCCTAATCGTGTTTTCCCACCATCAATTTTTCGTTAGTTTGTTATGAAGTGGGGTCTCGCCTTGCTTACTAGACTTTAACTAAACTTCCCATCTTCCTAAAGTGAATTTAGAATGATCATGATATTTCCCACCTAATTCACGATTTATAAATTATAAATAAAACCACCACAGATTAAAAAAAATGAAATTCATGGTAGGTTTAATTATTTTCATAGTTGACCACCTGGGTTCCTTAGCCAATTTTGAAAATAAAATTTGCAGATATACAAGAAAGAAGAAACGTATTTATTGGCGAATAGTCAATGCCTACAAATTATTCATTAAGTTTTCAATCTATAAATTAACAAATTTATATGTTGGTCTATTGGTTGTTTGCATTAGGGGAAAGAAGAAATCTCATAAAATGTTCATGAGATATAAAATTCTACTAATATTTAGTGTTTTAAACATTTTATTATTAAAGATTGGAGTCTAATAAAAAAAGTAGGAACAACCTATTGAGAAGATAAAGGTTTAGTTAAGGAAGAAAAAGGCATTATAATTGGTGGGGATGACGTCATGATTATAATTGGTGGGGATGACGTCTCATGACGATGCTTAAGATGGTTGAGGCAGAGCAATCACATGAAATTCTAAATAAAATTTGCAATAATTCTTTATAGCGGTGAGCAAATAGTATAGGTTGATTAAATTTATAAGTGTTGATTTTATTGCATGGATTTTATTTTTACTTTCAGTAATGAGTTTAGTCAATAAATGTGGTTAGCATCTTGAAAATTATACCGGTATGGAATAAGACATGCCTTTCTTCAAACAATTACTATGTTTATCTATACTATTAATGAAATTCATCCGGCCAACGGGCGGGCCCAAATCTAGTTATAGGAATAGAGCTCATTCCGTAATCAGTCATTTATCACTTTAAACAATCATACCTTGTGTCGATGATAAATTCACATAGTCATCTACAATGTTTACTAAGCATGTAATGTAATTGGTATCACTAGTTTGGAATGAGATGACCCTCCTTGAGCTCCACTTCACCTAGCCATGCAAAGATAAAAAAAATATTTTTACGTCATGCTGACTCTATTCTGTGGATGCCTTCATTCTAGGGCTGGCTATTTGGTCCGGGCTATTTGGTTTTATTCGAAATCGGACCGTATAACTCGTACCGGACCGGAACCGGATAGTAAACAATTCAATCCAATATTCGGGCTTCGATTTGAGGTAAAAAAACCGTTTGGAACCGGATCGAAAACCGGATAAGAGAGACTAACACCCAAAACTTAACCAACTCCTCACCCTTTGAGTCCTCAGACCACTCAAATTCTCACAAGCTCAATACGGAGACCGGATCAATTCGGGTCAATTTATGGTGACAGGAAGCGTTCTCAACTTGAACGCCTAGTGCCTTAATCCATTTGGTCACCATCTTCTCAAACCCTTTAGCTCCCTTGCGATTTATGTCTTTTGACTGTTAAATTAAAGGTTAATGTAATTAGGAAGATATAAGCTTAGGTAAAACGGTATAGAAACTCTTTTAAAATCCCTTTTTCTACGTAAGTCAAGTCATAATAAAGTAGTGCAAAACAAATGGAAATTAGTGATTCAAGTGCGGTGTACAGTACATTGTTGGAAAAGAAGAAAGTGGCGTTGGAAACACTATCTTCCAAAACTAGATAGTACCCCGGCCCGTTGGCCGGCTGAAATACGATAACATTAATTAACAAAGTTTAAAATTTAAATTTCAGTGATTTCATCTTCTCTTATATATATTTATGTCACAATTATATGTCAATACCATATAAAACAATAAACAATTATATATTTTTATCAAATTGCTAGACAACTTCTTAGTTTTTGCCATCAATAAAGTTAAATATTTAATTGCTTGGAAAAGAGAAAATTAGCATCCATCATAAAATATTACTCCGTATTCTGTACAAATTCTTGTTGAAATTAAATAAAATATGACTTATGCAAGGGTATATCAACTCATAATAAACTTAATGAGACAATATTGTAGGCATTCCAAAATAACTAGTATCAATATCTCTTTACTATCAGGAATATCTATCATCAAATTCACTATCTTAATTATCAACATACATTTTTTTAGAAGTAAATTCAAAAAATAGAACTTAATCATATATGAAATATCATTTTCATGGCCAAACAGTGTACCTCATCCCAATCACAAAATTTTGTTGGAGATTATTTTTTGCCATCATTGATAATCTTCAAAAATAGTAATTCAGCTATGAAATTTGCAAGGATTGAAATATTATACTGGAGGTTGTATCGAAAAAGTCAGCGGTAAGATACTTTAAGCTAAAACCGTGGTTTAACCGTTTCATACCGCTAAATATTGTCTACCGGTTTAGCCTTCGGTAGAAGGTTTATATGTCGAACCACCGGTATGATACGATTTTTCAAACCTTGGAATACGTTAATCACTAAACTTAATATGAACTTCAACTGCATTATTTTTTTGGTAAATACTCCATACCTTCATTTCATAATGTCACCTTTGAGTGAAATTCAATCACTTCATGAATATCAAAATTAGGTAGCATCAAGGTAGCTCTAATTTACTTTTCAGAAAGTAGCTTTAATTAAAGAGAATAGTTTTTTCACCGACATGCACTTATAATTTTCTCGAGAAAAAAGTAATGATTGCAGTAATGGATTAGAAATTAAAGTTTAGACCAATATTTTTTAGCACACGCTAACATATTCATTTACCTTTGAATAAAAATAGACCATCTTCTTGAATTGTTAAGTTAAAAATCATATGGAACTTCTTTGTAATACGACATAACTGAATGCATATCGAAGGACCCAAAAATAGTTGGTAAAATTTTGATTAATATCCATCTAATACATATATTCTATTAAATGTGTTTAAAATTTTCATTTAAGTACTATTATAAAGTTGTCTCCTTGTTTTATGTTTGTTTAATACTTCAAGTATTAAACACGTATAACACGTTTACTACATGTATTTTTAGGAATTAGAATGATAATTTGTTAATTTAAATTATAATTTATTTGTAAATTATAAATTTCTAAATTTTCATTATTAATATCAAACTTTTAGCGACACACCAATAATGTATTTTATTAGTAAAGTGCCAAACTTATGAGAATTCGTTAATAAAACCATGACTATCATATATAAATACAATGCTAGCCAATGGGGGGTTATGGGAACTTTTTTTTTTATGGAAGGGGGATTAAGATCATGAAAGAATTATATTGATGAATCAATTACAGTGGGCTGCGGAAAAAAAAAAAAGCCAAGTGATATGGCCAAAGTCTACAAAAGCTAATCACCGAGATTTGAGAGGGAAAAGACATGGAAGTCCTTCCTTTGCGCAGAGTCCAGGAAATACTCAAATAAGTAGGTGCTAAGTAAGAAGCTTTTTATGTATTGTAGGAGGAGGAGGATTGAAGGCAACTTAATTTCCCCAGCGCTGGCTAATGTTACACATTTTGCATGATTTTCCACGGTGGGGAGGAATTAAGGGCATGAGAGCAATGAAGAACATATGCATCCACAAACAAGAATGCGACAGGGTACGATATTATAATTATGTGGTGCCATTTTATACTGTGGCACTAACAAGCACGTGGTGGCAAGAAGGAGGAATAATTCATTGGATTTTTAGCACGCGAACCACAATTTCTCTCCACTGCACTACTCTGCTTGACTGTGATTTTTCTTGCCCAGATTTTCCGCGCAGACAATATTTTCCCGGCAGAACGCTAATCAGTTATTGATTACCTCGTACAACGTTTTCGACTTGAAAAAGACTTCACAACAAATCAACCGCGTTTCAGGAGAGAAATATTCATCTCTCTCTCTCTCTCTTTGTCACTCTCTCCTCAAAAACATGTGTCTCTCTCTCTCTCTTCGCTTGATATTCCCGAAGATAAGAGATAACGAGTAACGACGACCACACAGAACCTATATTCTATTTGAACTAACATTTTTTACTTAAACATGTTGGATTGGATCCGGCAATCCATAAGACACAATAAAAGTAAATAAATACATACATAAATTAATATAACAAAACGAAAAATAAACATAACATAATAACTTCGTTATCTAAATTGCAACTTTTTTTTTACGATTGCTTAACATAAAATTACATATTAGCTCTCTGATTTTCTCTCGGTCTCTCCGAGATCATTTTCAATCGTTGCCATAACTAACTTTTTAAGAGCTTTTTGTTCATTTTTTTAAAAACAAATTGGATTTTTCGTACCAAACACGATTCTAACAATCATTATACGTGTCTCGTACATATATAGTATATACATGAAAAAGTTGACCAATCCCTAGTAGTAATTTTAATGTATATAACTAAATTCAATATCAAAGCCACAATAATTAACCATATACCAGTACACCGGTCGGACGGACGGCGCGCGCGCCTGTGGTGGTCCGTTAGGTCCTCGCTCTCCCACAAAAGTGGGTCGCCCCAAGGGGCATGCCCTTAGGAGAGAGGCATGCCTCCCCATCCCCTCTAAATACACCACAAACGAGCATAAACACAATAGAGAGAGTGTTCAGAGAGCTCCGGTTTTCGCACAAAACCGCGAGTACAAAGAGGAGCTGTTTTATCCTGGAGACGACCGGTTGATGGTCTGTCGTGCGCATCGAGGGCAGTGCCGCGAACGTCTTAAAGAGAACGATCTAGTCCGCGACTCAGCTCCAAATTCAGTAACCTCGTTCTTGTTGTTGTTCCGTTCCTAACAGTAGAAGGTTCATAAATGGATGTGTATTTACAGATTAACAAACTAAGCTTTGTCGTCTTGTTCTCGCCAATGACATAGCATTGCCTCATTTCCACACACAACAGTCAACAGCTCTCTCTATAAATAGTAAATACCGGCTCCATCCCGCCACTCGTACTCATCTCTCTCCTAAAGAAGCTCCATTTCTTCCATAAAGAAAGATCAAATTCCGACTTGATAAGAAATGGATGCGAGGAAAGTGGTTGGAAGCATAACAGTGATGCTGAGTTACTTGAAATTGGGATGGGAAATTCTGCTCCACGCTTCCTTCTTCCACCCTTACTCCCACCTTCATACTCAACACTACCCAACTTCCGCCGCCGCCGCCGCCGCTCACCACCGTCCCCGCGGCGGGGCCACCGCCGATGAGGACGTCGAATGCGCGGTGTGCTTGTCCAAGATCGAAGAGGGGGACGCGGTTCCGGAGCTGACGTGTCGCCATGCGTTCCATCAAGTTTGTCTTGACCGATGGTCAAACTACTCAATCCTCACCCGCCGCCGCCATCCCGCGTGTCCGCTCTGCCGCCGTTCATTGACCGGCGCGCCGGAAGAAGTGGTCGTCGTCTTCGATTTTGCTCGGTTCGTTTGCTCCGATGATGCCCGCCACACGTGGTGGCTCCGCTAAGCGTGTAACTTATTTAGTGCATGTGTATAAATACATATATATATGTTGCTAGCTACAAATCGTAATAAGAAATCAATCTAATTAAGGGGGTAATTAGAGATTAATTAGCAAGGTCGCTTATTAAAAAGTAGTCATTGCAGTTCAGCACCTGCAGACTATGTAACTCAAACAGAAAGCCAATTTACGTGGGTTGGAGTTTGCACAGATAGAACATATCAATATGGTTTAATCAACTGTTAATATTGGGGGTAGTGCGGACTTCAATACGAGACCTCACAGTCAAATTAACCAAGTCCGACACTATGTCATAAACCAATTAGTGTCAATTACTTGGAAAAGGTCCATGTACGTATATGGATCTAGCTATACCACTTCCTAAAAGAGAGAGCCACAAGATTCTAGCTAGTGTGATGAAACAAACTAACTCAAAGTTCCATTATTGAAACTTGTATAACCTGGCTAAAGGTCAATGCCCATACAATAGCATCTTAATGTGAAGTAGGTGTTAATTACGGTTAATGAAAACTTGAACAACAACGATATTTCACCTTACTATATGTTCATTTGAGATAGTTAATTAGGGCCGCCATCTTTAAAATAATCCTAGTCTTATAAGTAGGGAAACTACGTACGTACGTACCTAGCTGCTGAGATTATTTGCGGGAATTAGTGACCTACTGATCCGACAAATTGATGGGTGCATGGAATTGGTCCTACAAAACCCACTGTTTTAATATACACTACTATATAGAGTATGAATTTAGGGTAAATACAATATATTAGTCACAACTATTATGAAGCGGGGAATTATAGCCATAACTATGGAAATTCAAATTATTAGCCAAACATTAACTATCGGTTAACAATTTCATTAGTAATACTGATTAAACTTTTATGTTTTAAAGTTATAAATTAAAAGCATTCTAACGTGGCCGCTGCCGTGGCCGATGACGTGGTCTTCTTCGTCAAAAATTCAATAACAGTAACGGACAGTTAGCCATATCTTGACCCACAACAATAGTTATGACTAATAATTTGAATTTTCATAGTTGTGGCTATAATTCCCCGCTTTATAATAGTTGTGGCTAATATATTGTATTTACCCATGAATTTATGATAGATACTTCAATCCTAGTATATAAGAGGTAAAAGGAAAACCAAATTTGATTTTTTTTTTTTTTTTTTTTGCATTGAAGGAGGCTAACAGCCAAAGAAAGAAAGGTAGCAACACGAGGGAGCAGAGCTAGGGAGGGGAGGGGGTAAGAGTACTGATCACATTCCTTGACAAAGTCTTCCCGCTAGCATCATCATCGAGTACCGAGGTCAGTCCTTGGGGTGGTGTCTCTAGTTCATACAAACCGTAGGGATAGACGAGACTGTGCTTTGAGAGCCAGTCCGCGACTCTATTCCCTTCCCGGTAGGTATGCACTAGTTTCACTACCCAATCGTAGGTGATCAACCGTCGGATGGCCGAGAGCAGAGTCGCATAAGGGTGCAGGGGGTCCGATCTGTTGTTGATAAGTTGAATTGCTGTCAGCGAATCAGATTCTAGCACAATCACTCTGTAGCCTCTAGCCCAAGCCACCTTGAGCCCGTGATAGATCGCCCACACTTCAGCCAAAGCCGCCGGACACGTACCGAGGTTGGACACAAAACCTCCCAGCCAATTCCTGCTAGCATCCCGAGCAACTCCCCCTGCCCCTGCAATTTTCAAAACCTCATTGGCAGCCCCATCCACATTGATCTTAACCCAGCCAGTGATCAACAATAATAGCTTTGATGACATTATAGCAATGATCAACAATAATTATTTCCATTATCATATCCTCCAATAATATAAAGTAGAGTTTTGTCTACTTTTCTCCATTTCAAATTCTCTGCAACGAGAGTGAAAGTAGGAAGGGTATTTTTGTCTTTACAATTAATTATTTATTTCATATAAAAAATATCAATATAAGGATTTGAACCCGAGTCTCTTCAAACAAAGACTACAATCACAACCAATTACACTAAACAAATTTGTTGTGTCTTTTTTAATACAAAACATACACGAAGCGACACTCTGAAAATCGATGGACTATTCCATCATGATTAGCAAGCCCACTAAGTCTACCGTATGTATTTTTATGGTGCTTGATACTGCAATTTTCATAGCAGAGTTTCATGTATTTTTATGGAAGAGACTAATTCTATTACTACGTGTTGTGTCCTTGCATTTTTCAATTTATATTTAAATTTAGTACTTTTTTTTTATCTTTGTTCTTAACTCTTTCTAACTTCCTCCGAAATTCTCTCAATCGTGCAATAGTTTGCTCCTCTTTCACTTTACAAATCCGCCTTTGAAAATCAATCTTCCGGTATCTCTTGGCACTACGATTTTATTGTTAGGGATTTAAACTGGGCAAGTAGAAGATTTTAACTTCGATATCAATCCATGGCGAATATAATGGAGTTCAATAAATGGAGTTGCAAAAGGAGGATTAGAAATTGAATTTTTGGTTGAAACATACGCCTCTTGAGATTGAAGATAAAGTTGATACAAATTTGATTGTACAACAGAGAGTGGTGGCTATTGGATCTTTAGGTTTATGGTTTTTGAAGATATCACAACTTATTTCTATCTTAAAAAACGAGGAATCATTGATTGATTTACTGAAGTAGGTCGGTCGATTCTTTATTCAACCTACTCGGACTGATAGATGAGGAGTGTCTAATTTTGTTTCTTATACTTTGATAGAGTCTATTAGTATGTTGGAGGTAACCCTAATTTTGGCGTTTGCTCTCAAGTTTTTATGGTCCCCTCTTAGATGAATTGTTAGTATATAGTTAACTTGAATCAACAACTCTCCGTTTCTTTTTTATTAGTGGCATATTGTTCCTAAAATGAGAGCATTGAACCTTTATGTAGGAATGCCAGGTTTAAGATTTAGTTTCAAACTATCTATGGTTCGTGTGGGAATTTCAGCGAGCTTTTCTACTCTATCTTTCTTGACAATCAACTAACCAATAGCATTGTACCAGAGACTTAATTATCATTATGAAAATGAGATCAATGATACATTTTTTAAATTTTATATTCTTAAATGATGATTAAATTTCTTCAAATGTTTGACCTATATATTCTTTCTTTATGTATTATCTCGATCGAAAGATTGTCAATAAAATTATATGGGTTGATAGATATAAACGTAACATAAAATATAAATAATCAAATATGAATATTCCAGCCAACGGGCCGAAGACATAACCATATAGGTGGCTACTTCGGTGCACTCACTTTTTTGGGTGAATTCAGTGCACCCACCTCTAAAAGTGGTCATAATACATTAAATTTTTAAATTTAATGGGTTGTATTAGTCTAATATGATGATATAACATAGAATCCCAACTAATCAACCCATTACCCTAACCTATTAACCTTCAATTTTGAATCTCAACCCAAAATCCCAAATTGTAAACCCTAAACCTAACCCTAAATTCCTAAACCCTGAATCATTCAAATTAAAGTGAATCTTGAATGATTTTTGTACAAATTCATGTGGTTCTTGTTCATCATACCACAAGTGAAGATTGACATCGTTTTCACATGAATCGCCTGCTCAGAATGACGATTATGAGGCGAGTGCATTGAATGCACCCAAAAAAGTGAGTGCACCGAAAACATAACCATATATATATATGGATACAACTTGTATGCTCCAAACGCATACCATGCTCTAGGCCTTTGCACCGTAGATCTAATCTAACGGCGTTTATTAATTCTATTAAAATTATTTATTTACCAACAATAATAGTTACCATCATCCTATAAATAATTATACGTACAATTTAATCCTTCAACAATCTTTACCACTATACTTTGTATTCTAATACCGTATTTCTAAGAGGCCTATTATTCAACACCCAAAAGTTATATAATTGATAATTATTTGTCCATTAAAATTTCTTAGGAAGGATTCATTAATCAAACGCCCTCATCAACCTGATATAGACTCGCATCATCAAAGGCGATCACCATTAAATCAACGGTGTGGAGAACCTGGAACATATTATATGTCCGGAGCATACGAGTCTACCCATATATATATATATATAACTTCGGAGAAGGCATCTGGATTTATTTGCTTAAGGATATAGATATATGCTGCTATAAGGCGGCGGTACAAACCGGACTTACAATGGTAGGAAACTTATCTGGCGACCAGAGGAAACTTTTCGGCCATTAGCGGCGGCGGAGAAAGATTTTCCGGCGACAGTGTTGAATTTGTGATGTTTGTTGACCTATTTTGTAATGTTTGTATCGATTCGATTTGTATTGTTTGTCATTTTTAGTGACAATTTGTATGGTTAGTATGCTTTGTACTATTTGTTAGTTAATTTTGTAATGTTTGTAAGCTTTGTTATTTTGTAATGTTTGTCGGTTTCTTTTGTAACGTTTGTAAGCAATGTTATTTTTGTGCACCATTTTTATCATTTTTGTCAACCATGTTTGTAATATTTTTTATGTCTAAAAAACAACCTGGTTGACTTTTGGATGAAACTCCTCTGTATGGGGATGGAGCTTCCAAAGTCAACCCGGGTGTTTTTCCAGTTTGTATGGTTTGTCGATCTAGTTTGTCATTTTTGTCTACCATGTTTGTAATGTTTGTATGTCTAAAAAACACCTGGGTTGACTTTGGGAGGGAACCCCTCTATATAGGGATGGAGCCTCCAAAGTCAACCCGGTTGTTTTTTCTTTTTGTATGGTTTGTATTGTTTGTCGGTGTAGTTTGTGTTGTTTGTACAGTTCATATGTTTGTATGTTTTGTCATTCTAATTTGTATTGTTTGTATGGTTTGTATCAATTGTAAGTCCAGTTTGTATACTTCGTAATTTTCCATAATATCCAAACTACCTCTGTCATTAATTAAATAGCTATTCTCACTTTTTAACCATTAGATTGCTTTGTCCAGATCTAAGGGATGAGAGAGACTTAGTCAAGTGACTAATCACCCCCTTAATCACAGGATCCGGATCCTATCGAATAGTTATACACAACAAAGAGATTCTATATTAGTTCGATGAACCAAACTCAAAGATCCACTATTGAATCTTGTGTAACTTCCTTAAAGGTCAATGCCCATACCATACATGGCATCTTAATGTCAAGTAGGTGTTAGTTAATTAGGGTTAATTACCTACTGATATAGAAAGTGAATGAAAGGTGGAACGACAACGAGATTTCATCCCCACAATCTTGAGATTACTGGCGGGATCTGGCGACCTACTATTTTAATTTACACTCTATATATAGTAATGACGATAGATAGATAGATAGATACTTCAATCAGATATATAGATTGACTTTTTTTTTTTATAATCAGATATATAGATGAAATGAAAGGAAACCCAGCTTTGATGGCATTATTATATGAGATAGGGATGGCAATGGCTCGGGTCGGGTCGGGTCGGGCGCGGATAGTACATATTTGTTACCCTACCCATAGTAGTTCGGATTTTATCCATACCCATACCCACATGTGAAATGAGTAGAAAATTAAAACCATGCTCATACCCGTTTGGGTTTCGGGTATCCACGGTTATCTATGGGTTATAATTTCTCTTCATAACTCTAACCAATATGTTAACATTCACACGTATTCTTACATTACGTAAGAGGAAAAATACAACAATAATTCACTAGAAGAAAGAAAATTAATTAAGACTACACAATTTCATGAAAATATTATATTTATAAAATATAAAATATGTTAAAGAAAAATAATGATTATTTCTAGAAAAAATACATATGCATATGCATGTGTATAACCGGGTGGGTTCGGGCTGAATAGTGAGAAACCCATGCCCACCCATTACCCGCAATATTCGGGTTCGGATTTTACCCGTACCCACTAAATGTTTTTCGATTTCGGGTTTTACCCTACCGGATTAGACCGAATTCGGACGGATTTCCACGGTTACTGATGGATACTTCAATCAACGATAATGATTTTCATTGTTATATATGACAATGATGAAGGCGGATATATTTATATTTATTTGACTAATGATACCATACAAGAGCTAGTCTTTTTAAACTATACACAGGTGGTCATGCCCCTTGGCTGTTCAACGTTACTATACTAATGGGTTTCTGATAATAATTTTGTACTATATGGTTTATCATATTTGTTACGTACTCGATAAAAGAAATTCGTCACATTAGTAAACGCTAGAGTCGAGAACTTATTTAGTAAGTATGGCAAGCTTCTTAATTAAAAAAGAAGAACAACCGAAATAAGTAAAGGGTCACGTATGTTGACAATTGGGTTAATACCTTATTTTGGTTTGAACTATGACCATATAATCAACTTTGGCCTGTGGTTTCAGAAATTAACATCCTGGCCTCAACTATGTAACATATAGACTCAATTGGCCCGACACCTAGTTTGAACGTCAATTTGGATGGTCAACACCATTGACTGTTAGTCAACACGCCATGTCATTGCCTCGTCAGCCTAAAAATCATTAAAAATCCAAATTCAAAATATTGTTTTACTTTTTATTATTTATCATCAAATTAACAAAAAAATAATTTATAAAAATATAAAATAAATTTATTTTTTGTGTAATTTGAAAATTATTAATTTTATAAATTAACCAAAAATTATCAAATTATTTTATATATTTTACATTACCTAAAAATGAATAATATAATTTATATCATATTTTTAAATTTATAAAATTTACTTTGATAATTTTTGGTTAATTTATAAAATTTATCATTTTCAAATATCCCAAAAAATAAATTGTATTTTATATTTTTTAAATTTTAAATTTTGGTTAATTTGAAAATGATAAATAATAGAAATTAGGAAAATAATTTGATTTTGCTTTTTTTAATAATTTTTAGGCTGTCGAGGCAATGACATGGCGTGTTGACTAACGGTCAACGGTGTTGACCATCCAAATTGACGGTCAAACCATGTGTCTGGCCAATTGAGTCTATAAGCTGCATAGTTGAGGTCAGGATGTTCATTTCTGAAACCACGGGCCAAAATTGATTATATGGTCATAGTTCGGGCCAAAATAAGGTATTAACCCTTGACAATTCATGTTTTGCCTATTGGTTTGATTCTTTAAAAAAAAAATCACATGTCAATCTTGTTTTCACTATGTATTTGTCATCTGAATGGGACAACTACTAATTGATGAGGTCGGATCGGGGCAAATTAAGGGGTCGTTTGCTTGATGGATTTGGGTCATGAATTTGGAACTCAATCCTAATCATGATTAATTTTAGCCAAATCCATTGTTTGTTGTTAAGTGTTAAATCCGTGGGGTCTACAAATTTGTTTGTTTTTTTAATCCAAATCTGTGGACCCCTCGTACTTGTAAATCCCACATATTAGAGTGAGATGTATAAATCTTTAAAGGCTAGTTATATTTATAACAAATCAATCATAATTATATCATCTAATCTATCATACAAACAATAGAATCTTCAAATCCATAATGCCAAAAATCCAACAAGCAAACAACCTAAGAGACAGAAGATAAATTTTCAGGGCACATGATTAGGCTTGCATGCGAGTCATTAAAATGTACTCACTGAGGATGGATAAGCCCTATCGGCAGTGGCGGATACATACATGGACACCCCTAAAATTTGAAAACACGATTATTCAACCTACGATAGTAATTTGCGTATGAGAAAAAAAATATTTAAGTGGTAGTGGGACACCTTTAAAATTTGGGAAAATGATTATCCAATCTCCCGTAGTAGTTTGAGTATTGATATAAATAATATTTAAGTAGTAGTTTATGTGATTTAAATTTGGGACACTGCCACTATTAGTTAATATATTTTCAATTACGCTACAACTCATTTGTTATTGTGTTTTAGATCCAAATATAATAGTAAAATATTATTCTTATCTCAAATTATTTTCAAAACCTAACGATTAAACTCAATTACGGGATATCCTATCTAGTAAGATATGTCGAGAGATATTTGTTGAGCAGTATAAACACCGAATGCATTTTATCATTTGATGAAACACGTCTGAACTTTTAATGAAACTTTATTAGTTAGATATTTCCATATTTAATAATTATTTAATTTAATTCTAATATTTAATATAATTTTTTATAGAGGACACCCCTACGTAGAATTCCTGGATCCGCCACTGCCTATCGGCCATGGCTTTGGCCGCAAATTTAGCATAGGAAACATAACTAACTAAATTGGAATCAAACGAGTTAGCGTTTTAAATGAAGATCATCTTCTTCTTCATTGCAAGTTTGCAGATCATCTTCTTCTTAATTGCAAGTTTGCACTGCTATTATCACGTTGACTATCCACAGCCGATTGGTGATGCAGGATATGTTGCTGAACTGGGGCAAGACTGCAACTGGCCTGTCTGATACGCCCTAATGGCTGAGAAGGAAGCCATTTGCATGTCAGATATTCATGTATTCCTTCTGTTTTGTAGCGGCGCTTGAAGGAGCGAGCCCGCCTGAAAGAGACGACTAGGTCTCCTTGTTGCAGTGGCTAATTGGCCATTGGAGTGGCTTGACTGCTAATGCTCGTGTGGGTAGGCTAACCTGGGGTTTTGAAATGGTGACAACGAACAAAGTCTCGAACTGCCGCAGCATCTGAAACAACGACAACAAGCTAAGTTGCAGAGAAATGCAGCAACCACTAAGCAACAGACATAAGAAGATCCTCTGGTTTATAGGAACTTGCCTTTCATTCGAGCTGCCAGCCAATTTGTTCTTTTGGAAAACTAGTTTCTTCTTCCTGTATAATTATAGTAAACCCCACTTCGAACCTCATGAACCTGAAGAAAACCCATCTGGGTTGCACTGCCTGCAGACAGTTTCATGGATAAAGGTAGAGGACAAATAAGTTCTTTGGATAAGTGCATATGAAACACTATCATCTTTCCGTTTTCTTTCTAACTAGAGTATCAAAATGGAGATGGGAACCAAATCACCAGTTACATGGCAACATTATATCGTTAATTAATCATCTTCACCAGCTATGATCATCTCAAAGCCGAATAGGAAGTTAGAGCTGCAGACCATATCAGAAACTTTTTCCTCAACAGCAAATGAAGGAGACTACGAGCAGCATGTCTGAAATTCAAATAGGCAAAATGAAGAGGGCAACAACTCAAGGAATGCCAAAACAAACCTGCCAAATTTATGTTTCAACACTAACTAGCAATACTCTCATCAGTTACAGATTTCTTCATGTTCTTAGGGGAATCTGCCCTTTTACCCGTGTTTCCCCTGAAATTACTCCGTGTACGGGGGCCACTTGTTTGGGAATGGTCTGACCTCGCTTCATTTGCACTCTTCCTATAAGGTTTCTCATCTGAGTGTTCCCTTCTTGAATCCCTTGAGCGCTCCCTCACATCCGAATTCCTTCGTGTTTCAGTCCTTCTGGAATCTTCTGCTCTCATATCCATTCTCTTCCTATAAGGTCTATCAACTGACCTTTCTCTTCTTGGACCACTTGAAGGTCCCCTCATATCCATACTCCTGTGGGGTTTCTCATCCGAAAGTTCACTTCTTGAATCCCTCGAACGCCCCCTTGTGTCCGAATTCCTTCGTGTTTCAGTTCTTCTGGAATCTTCTGCTCCCGCATCCATACTCTTCCTATAAGGTCTATCAACTGACCTTTCTCTTCTTGGACCACTTGAAGGTCCCCTCATATCCATATTCCTACGGGGTTTCTCATCCGGAAGTTCACTTCTTGAATCCCTTGAACGCCCCCTTGTGTCCAAATTCCTTCGTGTTTCAGTTCTTTTGGAATATTCTGCTCTCACATCCATACTCTTCCTATAAGGTCTATCATCTGACCTTCCTCTTCTTGGACTCCTTGAAGGTCCCCTCACATCATTATTCCTTACATCACCTGCTCTCCCCCTCTTGATTTCAGCATTTCCACGACCACGGTTCTTATCCGCTACTTCTTCATCATCATCATCTTCTTCTTCTTCATCATCATCCTCATATGCATCTTCATCATCACTATCATCATCAAGGTCGGATACTTTAGAAGCTGCAGCATCCTTTTCACGATTATCATCTTTCTCTCCCGGTTGCTTAGATGCCTTCTTCTCTTCTTTCTTGTTTCGAGCAGGGGCATTGGTAGTTGCTTTATGATGACCCTCAGGCACCAAGTGCATAAGATGCATGTATCGACTTCTAATATCAACAAGTTCGTTCTTCTCAGCTAGCCATCCTCTTTTATACCCCTCCTTTAGAACTACTGTATATGTTCCCAATTTACCAGAAACATAAAATATCCCAGGGTGGTTAAGCAATGCTCTCTTGAACCATGATCGAATGCCCAACCACTCTCCCACGTATAGCAAATCCTCCTTGTCAGCCTTCTTTGAAACAAACAGATTCAGAAGCTCATGCAAAACTCCGGCTGCCCATTTATCCGCCTCATCAGTAGTAGAGCCGAGGTGTGTTGCATTTTCATATGGAGAGATATAAGGCAACTTCTGCCATTCATCAAACCACTTCTTCACCTTCTTGTCCATCTCAAAACCTGTCGAAAACTGCATCTCGAACGAAAGAGGCTTCCCCTTTTCGTAAACCTTACCTCCACTTTTGGCCTTCTTCTCCATCACTGAAACGGCAGATTCATCACACCAACATACCAACTCCAATGCCATCTCTGGCCCCAACCGGGACGACGAATTCTTGCTACCCACAACCCTGAAGTAATCAGGAAACTCGGGAACTATGCTTTTCACGTAATCATCAGGCAAACCCAGATCCCATTTTATGCAATCAAGAACGTTCAACGGAATTTTATCAATTCGCGCTAGCATTACCAGCTTAACAAGTCTATCGGCAACATTCTGCCTGTAACTTTCGCTCTGGTAAACTAATTGCTCTTCAGCGTCGAGATCGAGTACCTGTTGGGTGAGCTTGATGTGGGGGTGAATCCCTAAGCCGCCGGGGTGGAATTCCTCGAAGACCGAAGGGTATTTGCGGATGAACTCGATGGGGCGAGTGGGTATCTGGAGGGAATCCTTGTGTTGGGAGATGAGAGGAAGCGGCAGAGACTTTGCCGGCTCCGATTTTATGAAGTTCTTCAGCTGCAATAGAGGCTTCAGATGCATTTCCCTCTCCACGGCATGGTCGAAACCCCGGTCGCGGACGTGCTTAATTGCGGCGAAATCGACTAAGGTGCGGTGGTGTTGACCGGGGCGGCAAGGCTCGGGGATTCGGCGGCACAATAACCGCATCATTTTGAGGAAGTGGAGCAGCTTCCGCCGCCACTGCTAATGCAGAGTTTTGCCTTCGTTTCGAGCTTTCGGCAACTCCGTTTGGCTGAGATTCTTGGAAAGCTTTGAAGTTCGAATGCAGAGGGTTAAGAAGGGTTTAGAGACTGCGGCCTGACTCGGAGGAAGGGTTAGGGAATGGACAGTTTGCCAAAATGGTCACTTAAGTTTTGTGTTAATATCAAATCGTCACTTGACTAAACCTTTTATCAAATTCATCCACTAAAATTTTCAATATTTTATACTTGATAAATGGCTAAATACACGTTTGGTCACTCAAATTACATAAATCTTTCACGTTTACCACCCAAATGACTTTTCTTTCTAATTGGCCGCTAACTTTACGAATCGTTTCACCGTTAATCACACACCGTCAGTCTCCGTCAGACTCCGTTAACTCCGTCAGTTTTTTTATGACATGGCAAAAGATCTGATGACTCGGCCATTAACTCAATGACATGTCAATTAAAAAAAATTAAATTAAGTTATCCCTCATCTCACCATCGTTCGTTGGGTAGGATAAACAAATCGCACTGTGCCGCTGGGGAAGAAAATCCTCTCGCCGCGCCCCCAACCCCCACATCGTCGATCCGAGTCGTCCCTAGTTACTCGTTGTCGCCGTCGCTTCTGAAGGCAGTGAATCTACGGTGTCCTCGGCATCCCTGTCTCCAGTCCGCCGCCTTTACCATCAAGCAAGCACCGAGGTCGTTTCCGCCATCAGCGCCATCAATCTCCTCGACTCGTCAGCGAGGTCCCTGTTACTACGGTCGTCGATCAAATTCCCGTTGTGCCACCGTTGTCTTCTCCCGCCGTCGTTCGTTGTCGTTTCCTCTCAGTACTCTCAACTCTTCTCCGTCAAAACATGGATCCTCAGATCTACACTCCAGAATCTAGACCCATGATAAGATAATCCAACTCTACCTTCGAGATTAACGACAAAGGATTCGCCTTGTCCCTCATTCCTCTTTTGGGCTAGTCTCAAAACTTGTCGTTTCTTGAGTGGTTCTGGCAGCCGGCAAATTCGCTGTTGGAATTGACGAATTTCTTCAATTGAAAGCTGAAGAGACGTTGTGGAGCTCGTAGAATCGGGATTTCCATTTGTCGATCTTCTCATGGCTTCACCCGACCAATTCTCTCTTCTTTGCCTCCGTCAAATTCGGCTAACGAGTTGTCGCGCAAAGGTTGCCGTCGCGCTTCCTGATCTTGTAAGTGCCGAAGGCACGGGCGACCGAGGAAAGAAGGACAGATGTCGAAGTGGAAGGGAGTTCGCCTGGGATCCATCGGCGCCATTTCCCCCAGTTGGAGCAGTGGTGGAGATGGAGTAGTGTTTGTTGCTCTGGGTGAAAGATGGGGAAAGCAAAGAAGACGAGTGAGGGGAAAGGTGCTCCTCTTATTTTTGTCTTCTTTTTATTTTTAATTATTTTAATTAACATGTCATTGAGTTAACGGCCTAGTCAGCAGTTCAGTTTGCCACATCATCAAAAAACTTAATGGAATTAACTGAGTCTGACGGAGACTAACGGCGGTTGACTAATGGTCAAACGATTCGTAAAGTTAGTGGTTAATAAGAAAGAAAAGTAATTTAGGTAGAAAAAATGAAAAAATTGTGTAATTTGAGTGACCAAACATGTAATTTAGTCCTTCATAAATGATAGGCTTAATTGAATTGGAACAAGCAATAAAATGCTATTTCTGTTTTAATAATAAGAAGTTAAAAACAAATGATTCAAGTATTCTCAGTGAACTTCCAAACTACCTTTTGTTAGCAATACCATCACCTAGTGGGGAAAAAAATGAGAGGAGCTCTCTCCTCTCTCGGGCTTTTTGCTCGTTGCTCGGTCGATGGTTATTGAGAGCCACCGTCGCCGTCCTGTCGGCTTGTTTAAAAAATCAAGAACTATGGACGCCGGTATCACTATCATCGGCTCAGAGACATCTCCCTATTCCGGAAGCACAGCAAGGGGGAAAATCCCCAAAAGCGGCGAGCCCTTCTCCATGGTAGGGACCTGCGTTTAATAGCTAGGTGTCGAGAACCTGGGCCTCGCCGGAAAAAGAGAGCATTCCAGACGGCTTGTGCCGCAATTGAAAATATAGACGAACGTCCGAACAAAAGATGTAGGAGTAGGCCACGACCCCATTGGCGATTCTGGCTCCCACCTTCGGAAGCATTTGACGATGGGGAATCTGAATCGCCCTCTCTCTTGGGGAGTGTAAATCAGACATCCCAATTTCCAGTAGCGATCCTTACTCATAAGGATCGATTCAAACAAACTAAACCCTTAGAGGTTGGGACTTCTCCCGTGCCGCCTGAATGTGCGATGGATGTGATTAGCGTACCCTATTTTAATGGTGAATCAGAGCTTCAAAACAAGCCTCTAAAATATAGGGTGTTGGCTCCCCCACAGGTTCCCCTCGGGGATGAGATTCTTGGAGTGTTGGCAGGTAATGGTAGCGCTGCGTTTCATGAAGATTCCAATGTCGCCGGCGACGAAGTGATCGCCCGATCTGGTGGTGTCGCCGTCCCCTGCAAGATGCTGGGGAAACGATTGCGATGGGCGATTTCGGAGCGAGATCCAGGGGATTCCTCCGTCTTCTTGGGCGGGATTTGCGGGAACCCGATTTGGTGGGGGAAAACAAAATCAAATCCCCTGCGGAGATATCCTAATCCGACCCAACCTCTAACGAACGGACGGAGCTGGGGATTTTCCTTCTTCCTAATGAACTCAGACTCTCTCCCCTATAAATCCCCCTTTTCCCTCACAAACCCAGCACTTTTCACCGATTGGCATCTTGGGAGTGCTGGTGTAACAAATAAGGAAGAAATTCCCAAGCAGCAGTGGAGCGCCTCTGCCGATCAGCAAGGTACAGGATGTGAAACCCAACCTTCTCCTTCCTCTCCTTTGAGTTCGCTACCTGCCTTGCCTTTGGCGGAGCCACGCTGGCTTCAAAATACGCTGTTGACCGACAACCTGCTGGTCCTGGTGCCGTTCGCGGCCAAGCAGTGTAGCGCCGGCGGGTTAGTGTGTGATTTTCGGGCCTCCAAGCCTTGTGTGGGCGGGCCGCGAAATTTGTGGTCGCAGATTATAGTTCCCAAGCCCTTTGGGGCCAGGCCCATTGATTTTAACAATGTTACTCCTTTGTATCAGGTGAATATAATGTCGCGTATAGCGGAGGATCAAGTGGTTGAATTTTCTCTTGAAGAGGTCCAATCGGTGAAGTTTCGAACTTCGAGGACTCTTTTGGGGAGGCTATTTTTGGAGACTATATTCACTCCAATGGAGCTAAGAGACGGTTTGGTTGAAACCTGGAGAGTACAAGGAAACCTTAGGGTTTCGGCCACTAAATTTGGCCTGTTCGAGATAGTCCTCCCAAGTGAGGAGACAAGGGTGTGGCTCCTGAAAAGAACTCCCTGGATTATTAAGGACAGGATCTTCCACCTCCGGTCCTGGATGTCGTCTATCACGAGGCTTACTTTTGATGATTTGGCAATTGTTCCCTTTCGGGTTCAACTATGGAATGTTAAAGATGACTGCTGCACTAAGCAGTTTGGCCGGAAAGTGGCGGTTGGGATTATCGGTCAAGTTCTAGAAGCAGATGTCTTTGCTTCAAAGGACACTAATGATCACTTTGTCAAAGTGCACGCTCTCATTAATTTTACTAAGCCTCTGCGGTCCCAATTCATGGCGGTTAGTGAAGAACTTGGCAGTTTCTGGGTAAATATGAAGTACGAGTTTCTACCGACCTTCTGCTACCACTGTGGCCGCGTGGGACACTCTAAACGGGAGTGTATTTTTGCTCCCCCTCCAGGTAAAGAGCGTTTCGGCCCACATATGTCTACAAGAAAGCCAGGGAGAAAGATCTACATGGATGAGGAGGAATATCCTCAGCCTCGTAATGCTAGCAAATCGATGTGGGTGAATAGGAATGCCCAACGGATTAATGAGGGGGAGCCGAAGACTGGAAGAAATCGTGAGATGGTGATTCCACCGGAGCCGGTGAATCGCCCAGTTGATCAAGGGCCGTATCTTCCTCCACCAGGGGGATCGGAGAACCAACCACGTCTGGAGACACAGCCTAGGCTGCGGGAGTCCAAGCCTCAGTCAGGTGGGAATCGTGCTAGTCCCAGAGGCTTTGTCTGCAAGGCGTCGCCCAAAGTGAGGATTGGTGGTGGGGTTCGGGCCCACCAGAAGAAAGTGTCACCTGGCTATGTGCCATCTCTTCCTCGAAAAGGGGCCAAGGGCCGTCAGCAGACTGGAAGACGGGCCAAGCAGGCTCCCAAGAACCAGCAGGGGATGACCAGGTGGAGACTGTTCTGGAGCAATCCAGACGACGCAGACTGATTTTACAGGAGGAGTCTGAAGAGGAGGAGAATACGGGTGAGACATCCAGGCCTCCAACGATGGCCCGTGCATCTTCGGGTCCTACAGGCGATCTCATCTCTAAGCCCACTATGGATCCTCGAGGGTCGTACAGGGCCGCAGTCAAGAAAGGGAATTCGGCACCCCGGGTTCGCCCGCGTCTGAGGAAAGGAGGAGCTGGTCGCCTTTCGCCTATACCTAACCAGGATGGGGAGTCTATCCCATCTAGTACTCTGCAGGATATGGAAGAAAAGGTAATTGCTGCTCCTCTGGATGATCTAATATATGAGGAATACCAGCAGTCCCCGGAATCGGATGGTGACCATTCGGCTGGAGATCAACAATCTTTTGAGATCAAGCGGCAGTCACCAGTTGGCGCCTCCATGGCAACTCGACGCCTCTTGACAGAACGAGTTCACCAAGTGGTGGAGGCTTTTGAAGCAGGGCTAGTTGGTGCTTCAGCTGAGGGCGTGGCTTGCAAGGGACCACAATCGAACCTCGATGAGTATGGGTCTAATTTGATGGACCCAATCATGGCGAATTGGAAGCGTGAGTTTGAACAGGTGGATGGGGAAGTGGGTGATCCCCCTATCCCAAAGAAGCAAT